TCCATGGCATAATAAAATACTTTTAAACACAATCATATTTTTTAAAAATTAATTTAAAGAAAAGTTGCCTACTAAAGAACATGATGGTTAAGCCCTAATAGCACGACATGATGCTGAATTCATAGTATGATAAAGCTTATTTAAATTCAGGAAGAACAAAAAAATGGTATTCAAACATTTCACATACCTCGAAGGAGATGTGCTAAGTTAGTGCGTCAACCCAATGTGTATGAAAGTTATTTGCTTCCCTTATGATAACCACAATAAAAAGCACATTTAAAAAATAAAAGATGAACAAAACCTATGCACAATAGTAAATACTTCCTCGTATGACACTAAAACCACATTGAAAACAAAGTTGAGATTAAGGTGATGAGGGAAATATTAAATTACACTCTCTAACCCCCTAACTCAGTTGGTTCCCATGACACTGGGAATCAAAGTCATGAAATGACCCAGGGGTGTTCCAGTTCCCCGTTCATAAAATTGACGATTCCTACCTCCTCTGACCCAGTAAACCGACCCCAGTAAACCCTCTCACCCTGCCCCGACCCGAACACACCCCCACCCCCTTCAATTGCACCCCAAGTTAATTTTGACTTTGAAGGGGGTGGGGGGTTTACTTGGGGCAGGATTAGGGGGTAGAAATTGTTAATTTTACGAGTGGGGAACCGGCCCCTTATATGTAATCTAATAACTTAAGTGATAGAGATTGAGCCTAGAGCTCTTAAGCCAGCGTCACAGATAGCTCCTATAGACTTAAAAAGCTGGGTTATTTTTTAAAAAAAAATTATTAAATGATAAGAAAATAGGTTATGGTGGTGACCATGTGAAGCTTGGTAAATTTTTTTATTCAATAAATAAGTTATTACTTCAAAGTTGGGAGCCTAAAATTTTGAGAAATGGTTGAATGTTCCGAGTATAAATTCCTCTAATTTTTAAACTTATACTCATACTGACTGCCAGGACAGAATACAATAATTTTTAACACAATATCTTAAAAATCAATTTAAAGGAAAAATGACTACTGAAGAACACAGCAGCATGATTGCTAAACCCTAATTATATGTGAGTATGCTGGATTTACAGCATGGAAAAGCTTAATGATATTCAGGAAAAGGCTATAAAAATAATATTCAAACATTTCACAGACCTGCAAGCAGATGTGCTAATTTAGTGCAATCTCAGCTTCACAGTATGCCAGTCTGGGACAAGGAGCTGCGGCAAGAAGGAAGACATCTGATATAATAACCACATCCATTGCAGATCGCAGCAATACTGAACGGGAGAAAAATTTATGACTTTGCATATTTGGGGGAGCTAGCGCAAATTTACGAGAATCACCTGAAATCCATCCCGGCGGAGATAGGGTGAAATCTCTCCAATTCCAATACACACATACTAGTTTTTTACCCAGTGCTTCGCACGGGCTTGGGTTATGTGCAAGTGTTGTTTGCAATTTTATAATTGTGTATTCAGTGAATGAAATATGTATCGTGATTTTTCTGAAAAATTTAATTTAAAAAGGAAAGATAGAAGAGTTAAGGACTCAACCATAGAAGAGCTATTGTATTGAATCCTAAAGTATACTGGTTCTTTTAGATTGGTTTTTTCTTCTTCTGTTAAAAAAATGAGCTATGGGTAAATTTTAGTGTTGTAACTGTATAGTTGTTTTATTTAATAGCTCATATATATAATATTCGAAAATATTATTTTTTAATTAAATAATACTCTGTATTAAAATCTCATCGCGAATAGCTTGAATCTGGTCTTGTATTCTACTCATTTCTTTTTGGGAGGGAGGGAGGGAATTGTTGAGAGTATTAAATGTATTTGACCTTGAACAGTGTAAAGATCGAAGTAATAGCAATTTCAAGTTTTGAGCAGATAACTAAAACTGGTGAAATTGGATCTTCAACAATGCCTCACAAGGTGAATCCCATTGATTTTGAGAACATCGAAGGAAATCTAGGAGTTGCTAATGGAAGTCTATTGTATTTTAGCACAAAGCCACCTATTCCTCCGTGGGAGGTACACCATACTTGTACACTTTTTGTGGTATAATAAAGCTTTTCTGATTTAGTGCATAAAATGAGTCCACATTTTTTTGTGTGGATAAATCTTCTCAACTCTCAGAAATATATCTTGTGGTTGCAGTCTTTAATTGCTGCTTTTGTTCAGGTTTCTCTTTTGTTCCTTTTATAATTGCACTTCCTGAACATTTTGATGTGTAGAGGGATTTGACGGATACTACTGCTCTGCGAAACATGGAAGTAGGGTTGGGGCATTCACTTATTGCATATCAAAATGCATTATAGGGAATTACAAAGCTTCAGGTAAAAATACGGTCCCAAGTTCCAACATAATTGTGTTTCTCTTTGAGTACTCTGTCAGTTGAAAGTTCACTTAATTCATGCTCAATGGCTTTGCTTAGAGCAGGGAAATGTATATCTTATAATTAGAAATTGAGCTGCTCTAAAAAATATGATATATATATATATACATATATATATATACACACACACACACACACTAGCAAATTCACGCGCGTTGCGCGAGTTAAAGTGCCCGATAAGGATTTTAGCCAAGATTTTTTATGGTTTTTGCTTACAATTTATTGTAATTGAATTTGTATATAATCCTATTTGTTCAACACCTCACGAGAAAGGAAGTTGAAAACACAAGTGAATATAATTTAGGATATGATACATGACTTTTTTTACAGGGGGGTGGGGTATATAGAGCTATTAAAATTCATAACAAATGTTTCTTATAGCATTGAAGTGGCTCATAAGCAATGCAATAATGTCTAGAATAAAGGTCAAGAATTTCTCAAATATATCATTTAAATGAATTATAAGTCCATAAGACTAATGGTAATAATTTGACACAAGATGTATATTGATTACAATTAAAAGTAAATTAAAGACACATAAAACAACAAAATGGAGCCAATTTGCTTGTACACGCTGTTTTTTTAATACTAAGTGTACACTACTTTTGTTTATTTTACCTTTGTAAGTACAAGAGTGCTCCAGCTAATTGCTTTCCTTTCCAAGATAAAAAAACACGTTGGACAACATGATATGAGATTAAAAAGAAACGTAAAAAAATCACCAAATCAACATGTGTGGTAGCTTGTTGACAAATCTATTTTGTTTTTATTTTAAAAAAACGAGAAAAGACTCAAACTTGGGGTGAGTTATTGAAAGATCTAATCTGCAGTTTAGACATGGTTATTTGTTTGCCTCTTTCTATAATACCGTTTTTCAAAAAAAAAAATTATCATTATAGACCATGCATGAGGCTGGGAGTTGATTATTCTCACACATTACCATTGTGAATTCAAAAATTGCCTGGGAAAGAAAACAAAGGAAAATTTGAAATGAAATAAAATATTTGAAGGAAAAAATAAAACATTAAGGAGGCAAATGCAATACCTTCCTGAAGAATTAGCTACCTGTGATGATCTAATTGAGCTCTTCTTCCTTCTACCAGTCGATATGACTTGCAAACAGTTCTGCGGATGCCTTTCCCCGTTTCTTTGACATCACAAGTTGCTTCGAAAATTCTCATATGCTAGATTGCTTAATTTCGTTTTTTTACCTGCTAATACCAATACATAAAAAATACTGCGTTGGTAATTTGTTGCATCATATCAATATGAAGAATCAAGACTCTTTTTTTCATAATTCAGTTCTAAAAAAAACAATGAACATTAAAATAAATAAAACCAAAAAACAACAAAAAACAGTATATTATTCAAAACCCAAAAACCATTTACAAATTAAACCACAACACCAAACCTCAAATCTTGCAACCCTAGCATGAGTCATCTCCCTATCCAGTCTTTAACACGTGTATCTGTGACATCTCCCTTGCTTCAAACTTGTCCCCATCTTCCAAAACAAGAACTGCTCATTAAATATCAAGCGACACAAATAAATATTTGCTTACACTATCAAATGTAATTTTGTCTTACTCCTCATACTTGATAATAAATAATTTTGATTTAAAGCATGTGCATAAATAGTCCAGTGATAAGTTGCATAAGTCATAAATAGACTCTAGTTGGCTTCAATTAAAAATTCAAAGAAAATTTAGAGCAATTAAGATATTACATATGAACTGATATTACATATGAATGAGGGTTCTTGGCACATTGCTAAGTCCTAGACCTAAACAATAGTGTCATCAGAGCAAGAACAAAATTTCACATCTGTTGCATGTCACAGCTTTTGGTGGAAGAGGAATAAAAAAAACTCAAAGCTTCTCAAGTAAATCAATTGGCCTGTAAAGTTTCAGTGACCTTTTTTAACTCCATCCCCTTTTGAATTACCACATGAAGTTAAAAAAACCAAAGCTCTCATAAAAGAGAACCTTCTAGAGTAATGAAAGCCTAAAATAATATTCTCACACAAAGGCATTTGTTTGATGAAGAGAAAAGCATAGCTTTGCTACCTTTTAGACTATCAGAAATACGAAATATCTTGTGTTTGCACTTGCAATACAATCACATCTTCAATCCAAGTTAATCTCTCAAATCCTGGATTTCACGTTGTTGGCTTTTCTAGTCCATTCTTTAATCTAACATCTATTCCTCAATCTGTATATTTTATAAAAATATGAAGAAGCATACCACGGAGTACTAAACAAGAAAGCTGTGGAATCTCAACATAATATAACCACACATAAATCAAGCACTAAATACAACATCACATACCTGCTGCAATAAGGGAGATGATGGACAGTGTGGAGAAGAATAGAACAGATGCTCCTATTGCTATTAACTATGCTCTCCAATTCCTCCTCAGTGAAGCGCATGCTTTGAGAACCGATTGTGGAAGCGACTCGTAACATGGATGGCAACATGCGAGTCAGCGGCTTGGAATTTTAGTCGGAAATGGCTTGAATATGCGCCTATCAAACACTTATTAGTTATTACAAAGTAAATATTTTTTATTGAGGAAATTACATAGTAAATGTTAGTATAGTATGAGAACTCAGGCGGTTCGCAACTTTTTGCGGAGTATAGTTCTAAACGCCAGCACAACAACTTGGCTTCTAAGAATGATGCAAGTTTAAACAGTTAGGACATTTTTGGCTGAATAACTAAAGGTACAACTTTCTAAGCATGGTTTACAAAAAATATGGATGAAAAAAGTGCATCTATTTTCCATTTATATAATAAGAAAGACACTAACGCACGGGCTTGTTTTTAGGGCTTGGTGTCGAATAGTGTTGTGGTGATGCTTGAGAATTGTAAGTTTTATCTTGTGTTTCGTGTTGTTTTTTGTTGGTGTTGGTGGTAGTGGTTAGAGTTGTTTTTTTATTTGTAGTTTTTAACTAAGTAGAATAGAATAGTAAGGTTGGTATTTGTATTTTTGTTTGGTATTATTTTGTAAGATTACATTGTTTTTTTTGTTTCGTGGAATGTAAAATGTGAATTTTTTGAAGTTGAATGTTTTGTAAGTTAAGTTGTTGTAAAAAGTTTTTAGTATGATTACATTGTATGTTTTTTGTTTGGTATTATTTGGTAAGATTACATTGTATATTTTCGTTTAGTGGAATGTAAAGTGTGAAGTTGTTGAAGTTGAATGTTTTGTAAGTGAAGTTGTTGTAAGTAATGAGTTTGTAGTTATTTTAATAATTTGGTTGGTATGTGTTGGTGTAAGGATGGTTGTTAATAATGAGTTGTTTTTTGTTTTGTCTGTCATTTTTTATATTAAGAATGTTTGAAAAGGTACATACTGTGAATGAATCAGGAATATATATATATATATATATATATATATATATATATATATATACAGATATATATATACATACATATATATATATATACATACATATATATATATATATATAGGGGGCGGTTCAGGTGAGAATGCACCTTGGTGAAAGAAATAAGAATAAAATCTAGCCTTTGGATCTGATGCATCATGCGGCTGAGATTGCATCCTGCACTCAGATTTTGAGATACTGCATTTTTAAAGGATTTTGGTGCATTTCGACATGATGCATTTTCAAATCATTTTGGTGCACCTAATTTTGATGCAATCCTGACCCTTAGATCTCACAATCTAAAGCACCAGATTCATTCTTATTTCTTTCATAAGATTGCATTCTCACCTGATCCAATATATATATATAGGGGACGGTTCCCGTGAGAATGCACCTTGTGGAGAGAAATGAGAATAAAATCTAGCCGTCAGATCTGGTGCATCGTGTGGCTCAGATTGCATCCTGCGCTCAGATTTTGAGATAGTGCATTTTTTAAGGTTTATGGTGCATTTCGACGTGATGCATTTTCGAACTATTTTGGTGCATCTAATTTTGATGAAATCTTGACCCTTAGATCTCACAATCTAAAGCACCAGATTCATTCTCATTTCTCTCCTAAGATTGCATTCTCACCGGAACCAAAATCTATATATATATATATATATATATATATATATATATATATATATATATATATATATATATATATATAGACACACACACACACACACATATATATATATAGACACACACACACACACACATATATATATATATATATATATATATATATATATATATATATATATATATATATATATATATATATATATATATATATATATATATATATATATATGGTATTGACTTGAAATTGAATATGAACAAATCAGACTTCTCTTCTATCTCTTATGCTTAAAGTATGAAATGCTAAAGATAGATCAAATTTTAGGCATGTTTATTATATGCTTGGTAAGACATGAAAATAGAAGTGGAGAAGGAAGTTAAAGGACATTACGCCTAAGAAATGAAGGAAAACCTCTTCGGGGTTAAAGACGTGTACATTGCATATTCTCTCTGAAGTTGTCGGTTAACAGTTTCAAAGGAGGCGGCCGTTTTCAGAAGATTATAATGACATACTCATGGGGTGTAAACATTATTGGATACATGAAAAGTACAGTGATGGTTATGAGGCATAACTGTAAGGTTTTATTCATTCATGGGGCATGCATTACGTCATAAACAGTGTTAAAAGTAGTAGTATATATATGTTTCAGGCAGTGTGTGTAGGAAGGCTTATAAGTTTGGAGTATGGGTAGGACTTCATATGATTTTAAAATAATAAAACTTACAGCATTTACTCTAGAACAAACATAAGAAAGAGCAGTGGTCAAAATTGGCGGTTCGTAGGATTTCATTACATAATGTTTTCACGGTTATGATGAGGTGTTAAGTTTGAAGTGGAAAAACTGGTTTGGGGTTGAGGATGGTTATATGTTGATGGTTAAGATGTGAAGAGAATATACAGTTATGTCATTAAAAGTGAAGACATTTAAATTTTGATTGTCCGGACTCCATAATTCAGGATATATGCTTGTCAAGTAGACATGAGTAAAGTGGAAAAAACTTACAGGCCCCCAAAATAGTTAGTCCATCCTTAAGTGTTCAACAACTATCAGTGGGAAGGTAGAATCTGCAATATGATTGCTGAAGTTAGATAGGCTACAGTTTCATTTGTTAAGTAAGCATAATCTTAAATTGTGAGCCGACATAGAAAGCAGCTGATTAAAGGGCGTCGAATGTCTGTAGGGATGAGCAAACGTAAGGCAAGATAGCATGTGAAATACGATCAGGTGAAGGTAGAAGACATTTTTTGCATATATTATGTAAGCAGAATCTTAAATACTGATGCAACATAGACAGAATGGCCTTAAACATTCTCCTATGTCATAAACCATGATCACTAAAGAATTAAGATGAAGTATGTTTCCTTAATAATCAATAGGCACGGAAAGTAAAGAATAAGGTTGTGAATGAAAGTGACATTGTGTAGGAACCAAATTACACAAACCATACTACTCCTCAGCCAAGGGAAAAACGAAAGGTATGCCAAAATCGTATAAACTTCTCATCAGACATGAAATACTTCAGCATAGTTTTGAGATGCTACTGCATATTAGAATATACCGCAGAGTATCATTTACTTGATCCTGCATAGTGTTCAGATGCAATCCATAAATCATGTACTCCTTGGTAAACGTAAAGAAAGCCACTGTCAACATATTCAAACATTAAAATAAAAGTTAATGAAAGTAAACATAATGATGATATTCAAATAGTAATGAAAGTGATACAGTATGTGTAAGTTCATCAAAAACCCAAGGTAAATAGGAAAGCAACCCGGCTGTCATAAGGTGTGACTAAACTTATTACCCAAGAATAGTGCTTAATCTTGATGAAAAAAATATATCGAATTCTTTAGGATTGGTCAACATAAAAGAATGAATACCTAAAACCTGTTACCTAGACGTATATAGTAAGCGAAAGGCAAATGTGTAGAATAGATCTGGTATTCGTAGTCGACCCAAGTTTGAGGGCAAGAGAGCGAGCAACAGGAAGTGCAGGCACGGGCTATAAATGGGATGGAAACTGGAAAAGGCAGGTCTGCAGTTTCTAAAAATTTTGGACCATTGTGAACTCAAGTTGCTTATAGCCATACATTTTCTAAGTGTAATACCACCATAAGATCAGGCAGTGCGTCATCCAAAAGACAATTTAGAGCAGGAGTCCATGCTCTAGATGAATAAAGTCATGGTAAACTTTCACATTGGTATTTGGAAGGGGTAAGCTGTGTTGAAATAGGCTTTTCAAGACCATCTGAGCATGTAATCACAATTGCTTACCAAACCGAATACAAATTGTCCTCCAACCCTTACACAGTGGTCAGTGTATACAAATCTACTTTTATAAAATCAACTTCTAAAATAATGAAAATAATAGAATAAATTTTTGATTAAAAATTTTATAAAATCAACTTCTAAAATAATGAAAATAATAGAATAAATTTTTAAAATCAAATTCTAAAATAATAGTTACATTTTTTCACATAAAATTTTAAAAAAAATATCACGTAAAAATAATCACATGTATTTTACATCCAAAACTTTTTTCACTTCATATGAATGTATTTTTAAACAGCAAAACAAATATGGTTGCAAAGGTTTTCACAAAGAAAATTACAAAAACATTTTAAAATAATAATAGGTATTTAACTTTTGACTTCATTGAAGTCACAACTACTACTTTTTAAAAACACACAAAAACATATTTGCATGGGATATAAACAACAAAATAATATTTGCAAAAAAATGAATCACGTATTTTTCATACGAGAATTTTTTTAAATTCTACATAGATATGAAGCGGGAATCGGAGGCGAGGCCATCCTCACTCGAAATTTACTAGCATGAACATGAGTGGCTAATAATAGAGGGACACAAAACATTATGGTGCCCTTAAATGCAAAATTGGGATAAAATTATAATTATTATAACGGAGACCTAAATTAGAAAAAGGTTAATTCAAAAGGGTCATTTTGAAAAATTACTCTATATTTAAATGTTGAAAATACCTAAATTTCCTCCATTGAACATCCATTTAACAAACGTATACGCAGGACACTGAGTGAATAAATCTCAACTATAAAGTACTACATTGATAATTAATGCTTAATAACACTAATTTTGGAAATTACCTAATTCGAAAAGACTATTTTAAGATTATCCAAAGAAATTTATAATTTATAATAAGTTCGAGACTCAGTTACAGGTTACAACCACATCAAAGAAAATACGATTTCCAATTTGTAATTATTTTTATTTTGATAAAACATTTTATATCTTGACCTGAATACTATCTCGATATAAAATTACATATTTTACTCATAGAGATTTAGGATCATTAATTCAAGATTTTCTTAATAATGCATGAAAGAATAATAATATTTTATAATCATTGCGGGGGAGGGGGTAGTTGGGATTATGGATGAGAAGAATCTTATTTTTTTTATTCTCCGTCTCTGAGTATTTGTCGAGTTTTGATTTTTTCCGATTAATTGTTTTTAACATTTGACTTATAATTAAATAAAATATATATTATATATTAAGTAGATAAAATAATATTTTGAAAATGAAAGATATAATAAATCAAATAAAACTGATTTTGTATTAATATATCATTTTTATTTAATTTGAGGTCAAATTTACCAATTTTGACGAAAAAAATCAAGTGAAGAAATCAGGGACAGAGGGAGTATATAATTTTAAGGTTGGTAATTTAGGTTTTTTAAATTAATGTGAGGAAAAAGAATCATTGGATCAGTAATACTTTTTTTATTAATATATTTTTGAATTTATACAGGGAGAAAAATTATAAATTTGTAGAAATACATCGAACCAAGATCATTTTGTTGGACATGAGTTCAAACCCCTTTATTATTTTTTCTGGAATATTTTTTGTTTTGATGAATGACAAACAGGATGATTAAATTCAAGTTGATCGAAAATTTATTTTTCGTATCGAGAAAAGCAAAGAGGCGTATCAAGATAAAAATCAACGTTTATCCCTACGCAAGATTTTTTTTTGAAGAGAAGTGAAGAATCCGAAGACTTTTTATTTTTATTTGAGTATAGGAATCTTTGTAAGGATGACAACACCTTCTGCATAAACAAATTAATCTTGCGGGATAAAAATTATTATTTGCTGAGTCAGTTGAAAAATTATTTTTTTTGTCTAAAAATATTTTACCAAGTCAGTTTCAAAATAGTGTGTCAAAAGTTCTTAAAAACATTTTAAGGATATACAAATTTTTGTGGTAAGAAAAATATACTTTAAATATTTTTCGTGTACATCGTTTGACACACAAAATAATTTTTGGTCTCTTTTTCTCTCCCCTACTCAAATTCATTGAATAGGGAGATATTATCCAAGGAGCGTCCGTTGATATTCTCGTCGTCCCAAACAACGAGTTAGAAGCCAAACTGCTTCCAATCGCACTTGGCTTGGGCCCTTTGTGTTTGCACATTATTTTCTTTTTAATCGATTATATCCTCTAAGATAATCGATTAGATCCAGCGAAATTTCTCAGGTCATTATATTTAATCGATTATTTCTTTTATGAAAATCGATTAGTTTGGACAGAGCTGCCTAATCGATTTGTTGCTTCACTTTAATCGATTTATAGGCTTTTCGGTGGGCTGCTCAACTTTGCTTAATAATCGATTATTTCTCCTTGATTAATCATTTAGTTCGGACAGAGCCGACTAATCGATTATTGGACTTCATTTAATCGATTATGTTCTGCTTTTCTTTTCAGGCTATTTCGCCTCTGTGTACCGTAATCGATTTAACCTTTTACTTTAACCGATTAATTTTATCTGGTGCATATTCTCAACCTGCTCCAACGGATTTATTTTCACTCAGCCTATTTAATCCCTCATTCTCCTTCTTCTCCTAACTTCACTCTTGCACTCCAAATATTCATTGAACCATTGTCATCCCTTGCTTCATCTTCCTCATCAAAATATTATTTTTGAGAGTTAGAAATATTTTCTTTTAGTGCTAAAGAAGTTGTCATCCATAGAGCTTTAATTCTTCAACACTACTTTGCTCAATTGTGTGAGCTTTCATTCTTGTGTTGTAAACTCAATCTCATTTGAGTGTTGTTCTTAAGACTTGTGTGACTCAAGTCTTGTTGTTGTAAGAAAGTGAGGCTTGTGTGATTCAAGTTCTCAAGTTGTACCGGTTTTTCAAGCACCCGTTGAAGCTTGAAGATTAGTAGGACTTTTGAGAGAGTCTCTCGGAGGACTAGACTAGCCACGAGGTGGTAAACCAGTATAAATCTCGGAGTTCTTCTTTCCCTTACTCTCTTTATTTATTCTTGCGATTTTATTATTTCACACACGCGAAAAACGCACATTCTTGAAAACAACTCTATTCACCCCCCTCTAGAGTTGCATATTTGTGTAACACATTTATATTGACCTTCAAATAATATGCCAAATAAAAATCAAAATCCACATTGTAGAATCGAAAAAAATTTCGTCCGAACCCGTGCGTGGCACATGTAGAAATACTAGTATATTGTTAAACGCTGGGGTTCTAGTGACACCGGAGTACGGTGACACTCCGGTGTCACTATCATTTTGGGGCACTTCCGGTGCTCTGCTCGTAAAATTGACGATTCCTACCCCCCTAACCCACCCCTAAACGCCCCATCTTACCCCTGCCCCTACACTCCTACCCCAAACCCGCTGTAAGCCCCCCACAAAATGTGTGGCTATTATGCATATTATTGCATAATAGCCACACATTTTATGGGGGGCTTACAACAGGGTTGGGGTGGGGTGCATGGGGGGACAGGGTGGGGGTAGGGTAGGGGGTTTAGGGGGTGGGTTAGGGGGGGTAGGAATCGTCAATTTTACGAACGGAGCACGAGAAGTGTCCCAAAATGACAGTGTCACTAGTGTCACCAAAAGCCGGTGTCACTAGAACCCCACCGATTGTTAAAATGCTTTTTTTGCTTCAAAATATTCAAAATGTTCAAAATGGAATTAGGACAAATTTAATCTTAATAATCAAAATGGAATTAGGACAAATAAAGTTCTCACTTTTCTTTTTCGTCCGTCCAAAAATAATCTTCCCATTTCTATTTTTGGAAAGTTTTTTATACCAAAAAGTCTAAATTACCCTCCCCACCCACTCCCTCTTTTTCTTTTTCTTTTTCCTTCCCCATCCACCGTTTCTTTCCCAAGAATCCTAGCCACCCCACTTTTTTCTTTCTTCTCTTTCCTCTTTTCTTTTCTCTCGTTTCTTATCTTCTTCTTCTTTCTTCTTCCTCTTTCTTCTTCTTCTTCTTTCTTTCTTCATCTCCTTCAAATTTTATTTCTTCTTCTTCTCCCCTTTCAATTTTTCATTTCTATTCTTCTTCTTCTTCTTCTTCTTCTTCTTCTTCTTCTTCTTCTTCTTCTTCTTCTGCTTTTTCTTCTCCCTCTTCTTCCCCCTTTCGATTTGTACTTTCCGATTCAGATCTATGAATGAAAGAAGAACCCTCTTCAGATCTATTCCATCTTCATCTTCTTCGGAGTTAATGAAGAAATTCGATTCAAGTCATTTTCATCTTATTCATTTCCTTCGATTTTTACACCAAAGTGCGCGAACAGGATGCTCAGTTTGGGTCGCCGGAATTTTACACTGGTCGGAAATTCGCCGGATTTCGATCGCCGGAATTTCTCTCTGGTGAATGATGGGGTTGGGCTGCAAGAACGCCTAGGCAATCAATATGGAAGGGTTGTGGACTTGTGGGTAGGGTTGAGGGGCATTTTGGGGAAGTCAAAGCAAATTTCAATTTTTATTAAACTCCGTGCCGAGTCAAAGTTAGAACATTAATTTTGACGGAGGGAGTATGTACAATTCTGGACCTAACAAATATTTCCGTACTTATGCTTTGTTTGGAAGGAGAAAAAATGGAGAGAAAATAGAGGAAGAGAAAACACAAATCACAATATAAATTCTCTTGTTTGGAAAGAAAAGAAAATGGGAGGAAGAAAGAAAGTGAGAGTGACTTTTTCTTTCAAAACTTTCTCCCTAGAACCCCTAGAACCGAAGAGAAAAGTGCACAAGGAGAGGAGAAGATTTTCCACCTTATTTTCTCTTTATTTTTTATCCATCCAAACACCAATTATTTACCTTCTAATTTCTCCTCATTTTATTTCCTTTTATTTGATTTTCTCATCCAAACATATCCTTAAATCTTGAAACGTCCCCGCTTCAACCAATTTATGACAAGCTTTCTATGAAAAACCATGTTTTTCATACTCTTCTGCACTTAATCGCCAGGTGAGCAACCCATTGTTAAAAATAGTGAAGTAGTTAACTTTCACTTTGACTTCTTTTTAGTTTAAAATATACAGTAAGGTTTTTAGAACTCGTCTACTTAAAAGAATGAAAACTCACTTGACACTCAACTTCTCAATGTTTGTAGCACAAATTTGTTATTTAAGAAAATATTTTTCAAGATAATCAATTCAGAATGAACCAATGGAAATATCATAAGTTCTTTTAAAAATTAGAAAATAATCCTTATTCCACATTTCCTTGGCCAGGAATAAACACTTTTAAGAAATCTGCTTTATATATAAATTTGAGAGTTGACTACATAAGAGCTTGACATGTGGCACAATATGGGGTATACATGTTGAATAATATGGGCATATTATGTGGTAATTGAGTTATGAGTTAGACTCCATTTAATAATAGTTGAAATGGGATTAAACTTTTATTTTTAATCAAAAAATAAAATTACTAAATATAAAAATTCAATAAATCCTATATATTAAATTATTAAAAATTAAATTATTCAATAAATCCTTTATATAAAAAGATGAAACTTTAATCTTTAAAAAGATGAAATGTGCATTACATCTTTTACTATAATATATGAGACTCATGTCTCCAAAAAGTTGACATGTGTCATCTTACATGACAATTTTTAAATGACATGGTGCATGAATAAATTGCATGGCATATTTATGATTAAAAAGAAATTATTGATTATTAGCTCGATGTTTTTTCATATAAACAAAAATAATATTAAAAGTCGTTTGAGTAAAATATAATTTTTTTTAAAAATTATAATTTATTCTTTTGTATGAAAATTTATTGAGCTAAAATATACTTTGGTGTAGCTCATTTATACCACTAGTTAAAGATGAGAAACGTATTGAAGAAATTTAGTGCATAATGGGTTTATGTAAATTAGATAATTTTTAATATGAAAACTTTGTGGTTTAATGTGTTCAATAACTTTTTTAATAATTAAAATTTCTTAAGTATATAATAGGGAGTAAAAAAAATCAATCAAGATTTAAATTTTGTTTGAGATATTATATATATTCACATCACGGTATTGATAGTCTTCAAAAGTATTTATTTTTGATATAAACAATGTTTATAAATGATAAAACATTTGTTTTTAAATGAGAGTATTTTCATAAAGGATATATCTTTATCTTTATATACTAAATTTGAGAGTTGAACTCTTAGAATAGCGACAAGTAGCGAATCTAAATTTCCTACACTGAATATCCATTTAACAAACATACACAGAAAAATTACTCTACATTTAAATATTGAAAATACCTAAATTTCCTACACTGAACATCCATTTAACAAACATACACAGAAAAATACTAAGTAATAAATCTAACTATAAATACTATATAGATAATAAATGCTTAATAACATTGATTTTGGAAAATACCCTATTCGAAAAGACTATTTTGAGATTAGTCAAAGAAATTTGTAATTTATAATTAGGTAACTAAAAGACTTAAGACTATATTTTTAGGAGAATTACTTGTGTCATAATTTTGCACTATATTTTAAGACAAATGGATAATACGTATACTATGAGATTAAACCAAATGCCAAACCACTATTAGCTTGTTTAGCATCAGCGAGATATATTCCTACGAGCTTAGATTTATTTGTGTAAAGGTAATGATATATTTTAATGATTTACTTATGCCCTTTCACTCAAAAACTATTTCTAAAATGATAAATATATTTTTAGTTAGGGTTATTTTGAAAATGGAACACACAAAACGAGTTTTGGAAAATTTACACAGGTCTAACGGTACCTGGCTACCGTGTGTCACTCCACATTCACATTAGTAGAACACAAAAACCCATTAGCATTAGAGGCTGAAAAATTACCTGAATTTGCAAGATGACTCCACCTGCAATCTCTTTCAGATGGTTCTCTCCCAAAGTTGTTCCACTGCTCACAAGGTTTACAATTGCATCGACTATCCCCATCTATAATAGGAAGAAATGAGGAAATGATAACAGCAACAACCTACCCAGTGTTGTCCCATACATTAGGGAACCATGATAGGTTAAAAAAAACTTTTACATACTCAAAAGAAATTGAAAGTGCGATTGTATTTGAAGATCACCAAAAGAAATGCTGGAAAAGAACAAATGTGATAAAATTTCAAAGAGCAAACCATAACATCTAAAATAGAACGACATATTTCTTTTATGCAACAAATATAGGAAAAACAAACATGGATCTCAGGCGAGTCTTAACATCAAGTGCAGTAATCGATTTGTGAAAAAAGAGAAGAAGTATTTCATTTATATACGTAGTACAATACAAACAGTCAATCTTAATGAGACTGTACTTAAGAAAACTCACAGTCAATCTCAATAAGATGTCAATCTCAATAAGATGGGACTTGAGAAAACTGAATCTGTTTAAAATAGGTAAATTTGGTCTTACTGCTGGAGTAGCCTTCAGTGCTCCATCTGGAGTTGAAAAGGTAACATGATTTAGTCCTTTTTCATTCATAAACTTGGGCCCCATCTGTAAAAGAAATGAAGGATGTTAAGGGAAAAATATCATCAAACTTAAACATAATAATTGTGACCACAATAATATATACTCTGTATGTGGGAAAAAGAAGATGAATATGTCACACTGCAGTACACCATGCATATGTGAAACCCGTAGCTACTCTAAAGGGTCTCTCAGGTGTCCAATGTGGCATTTCTGCTAGATCCTTCAATGAGTTCACATTCTCGAATATTCCATACTTTGGTATCTGCAGATACGCACATGCATTTCCAGTCGCACGTCATTATTATTGGAAGAATACTAATGGTGATAGGAATGCACATAACATGACACAATTTGAATGTTTTGCTATAAAGAGCTCATTGTTACTCCCAATTTGAGATGATCGACAGTTTCCATATTCTAGAGGATCATGAACTATAAATAGATCTTCATTCCCCTGCCAAGAAGATGTCAAACAGCCTGCAAAAATCATAATGGTTCTACTAAATAACAGAGCATGAAGTCGAATTGACTCAAAAAGAAATCCTAAACATCAGTTTGTTGTTGAACTCCATTCACCAGGACAAATACAAAAGAAAGGCAGATAAATTAGTGACCAGACTAAGCAAAGAAATCTACAAGTGCGTGATTCTGCAGACAGACCAGGTTTCATAGAAATCACAAATTATAAATCGGCCAATACAGCAGGTTACAAGAGAACTACCATTTCCCAAATATAAATTTTATTGATCCCAATCCAGCATGAAACTACACTTATTTAGGGAAAAGATAACTCATGTCATGTCCTAATTGGCATTGGGTACTCATGGCATTCATGAAGGTTGCATCATGTGAAAAATACTACTAAATCCTACCTTAGATGAATTATTTCATAATTGGAACTCATGGCCTAATTGGCATTGGGTACGCTATTTTTTGGACACACCAAGGCCAACATTAAGCAGGCACTGGACACTATCTTGGCCCAACATTTGAAGTGCTTCTAAAGGAGCACCATGATGTTCAACCAACCTGCAAGAGTAAAACAAATATATTATAGGAACCTCATATAAAATTAGGCAAATTGACTGAGACAACATGCCAGACGAATAAAGAAAATGACGATAATCAAGAAATTTATTTCTAGAACCAAATATTTCACGATTCGCTTACCGCTTGCCATAAAGCGTAGTAGCCAATTCTATTGATGTTTTATTATTGAACCCCAGCTCTAATCGAACAACACCATTTTGCACCCAAAACTTGTCCAAAACATTATTAACATTTTTATCAGAAATTTGCCAAACAGAAAACAAAATCTCAAGCCTTTCTAAAAAAGTTTTTCCAAAACATCTTCGATACTTTCAGAAAGATAAGTTTAGTCTCAAAAAATGGTGTTGCTATTTAGTGTTTTTTATGCATGCCTCTCTAAAAAAAAATGATCATAAAGGATGCATAGTTGGAAAAAGAGTCTTTAATGAATCAAGAGCAAATGCATGCGTATGACAATGTTTTTCCTAATAAGTATACAACATAATACAAATAGCATTCAAGAGATAACTGTTACCTCCTACTTGTTCTTTGGATGGTTGAGATACAGGTTGCATCAGTTGAATTTAGGATCATGAGGTGCAAACTCTATACGCTAAAGTAGGAACCTTATTCTTTATAAATATAGTTTGTAAGGCATCACCTAGGCAATAAGGAGCTGTCCCGTGGACGCCTAGTCTACTCGCCTCGCCCACAAAACCTTATGGCGTTCAGCTGCTCGCTTAGGTATCACATTACGTCGCCTTACTCCAGTCTTGACGCCAGGGCCCCTTTAAAATTTTGAAAAGCCCTTTTTTGTGCACAACCATCACCTTTTGTATTTAGTGCTTGATGTGGAGTTGTTTGTATACCCATACTTTCAAATACTTTTGTGAGTCCATAACTCAAAACATATCACAACGTGCAGGCAGTGAAATTTAAATTTCACTTACCTCCATTGATCAAAATGAGTATGCAAAGTACCTCCATTTCTATTAAGAGTGTATTCCTTTCACATGTGGTCATTTCGAAGTGAGACCAGAAGTCTTTAGCTTTAGGACAAATCTAGAAGAAATGTTCAATCATATCTGCATTCTTGCACCAACATCATTTGGAAGCAAGTTTGAATGTGGAATCTCTGTGCTGCAAAATAGAAAAAAACTGTTTATGAGACCATTCAGACCATGAACATAAGGAAAAATACACGTCTAATTGTAAAATAAGAAACAACCCAAGGTAGAAAGTGATAGTGATATCTTCCTTCTTTCCACTCTCCTTGCAAACAAAGTGATAGAGACAATAGCATTTGCATCTATGAATGGCACACACTTATATACGTATAAATATTGGATCTACAAAATCTAAAATTTGAAATCAGTCAACAAACTAAAAATCAGACAACATATGAACGAACCTGTACAAAAATCCTAATAACATGTTGAAAAACAATTTCTCAAACTTGAAAGGCATGCTATAATCAAATGTAATGGAGAAATTAGAAGAAGTTATACCCCTTTGTAAGGTTTAGTGTGCCTCAATTTGGAATGTTGTAATGTAACAAAAAACCAGCTGGAGATGAGAAATGCATGGAGAACCAATAAGATAACCATACTTGAGAATTTGGGACAATGATTTCCTGCTAGCAACAAGGACCGCCTGTGCAGAAATATTAATCATAATATTTTACGTCCATCAAGGTGTTGTACTAATATGTCATAATGAGGATATGTGACTATGTAAATTTTGGAACTCTACATCCCTTGAAAATGTGCTGCCCGTCAATATGAGCCGAAAACATGCTTTAAAATGATACTATTAATATTTTATAACATAATACAGTGCAATGTCCCTTTGACCGCATTAACAAAATGACACTATTAATATTTTATGACGACTGTTCTTGTGTTTTATAATGGGGGCAATAATCTTTGGAAACTAATGAGGTCAAAGGGCCATTGCACTATATAATGTATTATGTATCATTAAAGGGTTTTGCAAATGATAGTCAGGAACATTTGTTACCCAAACGTGATGGCCTATGAATATCTATTTCTAACATTCAGACACATGAAATATTATCAATAGTGTATACATATTTTTCAAAACCTTTTCTCTCCCTAGTAAATTTAGTCTCAATCAATAACTTTTTGAGTAATAAACACTCCACATTGACATTAGTAGAACACAAAAACCCATTAGCATTAGAGGCTGAAAAATTACCTGAATTTGCAAGATGACTCCACCTGCAATCTCTTTCACACTGTTCTCTCCCAAAGTTGTTCCATAGCTCACAAGGTCTACAATTGCATCGACTATCCCCATCTATATTAGGAAGAAATGAGGAAATGATAACAGCAATCGATTTGTGAAAAAGAGAAGAAGTATTTCATTTATATACGTAGTACAATACAAACAGTCAATCTTAATGAGACTGGACTTAAGAAAACTCACAGTCAATCTCAATAAGACGGGACTTGAGAAAACTGAATCTGTTTAAAATAGGTAAATTTGGTCTTACTGCTGGAGTAGCCTTCAGTGCTCCATCTGGAGTTGAAAATGTAACATGATTTAGTCCTTTTTCATTCATAAACTTGGGCCCCATCTGTGAAAGAAATGAAGGATGTTAAGGGAAAAATATCATAAAACTTAAACATAATAATTGTGACCACAATAATATATACTCTGTATGTGGGAAAAAGAAGATGAATATGTCACACTGCAGTACACCATGCATATGTGAAACCCGTAGCTACTCTCAAGGGTCTCCCAGGTGTCCAATGTGGCATTTCTGCTAGATCCTTCAATGAGTTCACATTCTCGGATATTCCATACTTTGGTATCTGCAGATACGCACATGCATTTCTAGTCGCACGTCATTATTATTGGAAGAATACTAATGGTGATAGGAATGCACATAACATGACACAATTTGAATGTTTTGCTATAAAGAGCTCATTGTTACTCCCAATTTGAGATGATCGACAGTTTCCATATTCTAGAGGATCATGAACTATAAATAGATCTTCATTCCCCTGCCAAGAAATATTAAATAGATCTTTATTACATATTAAATAAAAACCTAAAAAATAGGAATTCAATACAAATAAAAAAAGAGGAAAAATAGATTTGGAGATACCATATGGGACTGTGGCAGAAGGGTGAGGTGACAGGAAATTGGGAAGGCAAGGCAACAACCATTTTTTTAGGATTTTTGGTCAGAATTGCCTACTCGCGCCGCCTGGAACATTGTGACCTTTGACCCTCAATGAAGCTGAGAACGCAATGTCATACTTGAGTATAACATTTGGGTACAGAACTCCCTAGTGTTGACCCCTTTCGCTGCTCCATTTGGTTTGTCAGGCAATTCATCGAACAACTGAAGTGCACCAATCTTTTTAAAATTTAATCTAGATACTTGACTACTTACCTTAACATTTGGATTCAACTTTGATTTTTCTGAGGGCTATGAACTCAGAGACAAATTTCTTTGATAATCTAATGTCAACTGAAACTGGAGAAAAATGAAAAACAATCTTAGGGCTGATAAATAATTAATCAAACAATCTACAAATCACAAATTCACATATTCCAAAAATATAACTATTAATTGTGTAAAACACTCAAAAAATGGGCACATTTTAAAGTGTTGGTGTTAATCAATTCCTAAGAAAATAAAAAATGTAATCAACGGACATGGACATCAAATAACTCAAAAATAATCATAGGATGATGNATAATCTAATGCCAACTGAAACTGGAGAAAAATGAAAAACAATCTTAGGGCTGATAAATAATTAATCAAACAATCTACAAATCACAAATTCACATATTCCAAAAATATAACTATTAATTGTGTAAAACACTCAAAAAATGGGCACATTTTAAAGTGTTGGTGTTAATCAATTCCTAAGAAAATAAAAAATGTAATCAACGGACATGGACATCAAATAACTCAAAAATAATTATAGGATGATGTGAATTCAACCTCTAATTAATGGCTAAACAATAATTTAGAGAATCAATATGGAGTGCTATATTAGAATTTTACCATTTTGGCAATAGAAAGAGGGTATTGACTTGCGGCAGCTGTGGTTGAGCAAAGGTCATCGTCATGCTCCATAGAGTAACAGAGAATACCTGGATTAAGTTTCAGCAGCAACTTCCGTGTGGGTCAAACGGAACAATCCATTTGATTCCAGGCTTGCTTGCTGAAGGCGCGATGATCGGCGCCGTTCCATTTCCCGACCTGCTCCAACATCAGGTCCACGAAATATCTGTCCATATCCGGAGTCCACACTGTTCTCAACCGTTCAATCTCGACCCCCATCCCCAGATCAATCCGGTGCGAATTTCGGCGTCGGATTGAGTCCAACTGGAAAACCCAAAGATTCTTGGAGAACTGAATTGCCTGGAACGACAAACCTTTCGGCCGAACGGCTGGACTTTCTAAGTATTGAGGCGTGAAAGGGCGGTTAAAAAATTAAACCTCTTATACATCATAATTTTAATTAATCAACTCTCAAATTTTATATTAAATGATATACACAGGGCCGTCTCCGAGAAATTAGGGGCCCTGGACAACACTGAGAGAATAGGTCATTGTGTCATACTCCCTCCGTCCCAGAGTATTTGTTCACTTTCATTTTTACACACCATCTAATGCACTTTTTTAATCCATTTTACCTTGTAATTTGTATATTAAAAAATTATAGAAATTATATATTACGAAGTAATAATCTATATGTTAAGAAAAATTAAACAAGATCACACATGACTATATTTAGGCTTGCACATTGAGAGAATTTGATGAGTCAAAGTACTTAGATGAACAGTTCTAAAAGTCAAAAGTGGACAAAAACTGGGGGACGAAGGGAGTAATAAAAAGTAAAATCTATAAATTATATTTTTTTAACAATAATAAAAATTACTCTCTACAATAGTAATAAAAATAATAAAAAGTCAGATTCATAGTCTTATAAATCTATAATTACATACATTCTAGTATCCCTAAACCCGCTATCTTCATCCCCTTTTCCCTTTGGACGAAAAATGGGACGTGATCATCAATATCTGCGTGGCACAACTGTTGAAAGGAGAACCCGATTTGGCTTCTTCACCCTTTTCTCCCCCTCGTTTGCATTGGAAACATTTAGGCGCTCATCCGCTTTGCATCTAGACGTCACATTTGCAAATGATGGGGACGCTGTAGTACCAGCATGCTTTGGACCTGAGGAAATTAAGTCACTAAACAGGGACAATAGAGAATGGCAACTTGAAAAAATAGACCTGAGGGATAATATGCCATTTTCATTTCCCTTAGCTCCATTGGCAATGGACGCAAAGAAAAAGATAAGAACACTAGCATATTACAGATTCCAAGACATCATTTATATGGCATTTTACTTACCACTTTTAGCAGAAGTATTATGTGAAGCCTCAGCCTTGGGAGAAGATTCATCCAATTTCAATGCAGGAGAATCATGCCCAGCAGCAAACCCGAGCCTGGCAACATTTGAAAATAGTGGCCTGCCTTCAACTGTTGGGGGACTTGATGATATTGCGGCTGAAGTTCCCAAAGCTAATAAGAGAGAAGTGTTGTTCAGACAAAGCCATAAGCAAAGAAAATAATTTTAAATACAAATAGCCCATGCAAGGTATAGAAAATATATCCTGCATTACTAAACCAATAATTCAACAAGGTTCCGTTTGAAACAGACAAATTGTCTTGCTCTGGAAAATGTTTCATTTCTCAGAAACTGATATCATGTTGAGATGTTTGGCTGTATTGAGAGCACCATTGCCTCCAGAAAAGTTTATTTGTTAAGTGTGCTTTTAAAAGCACATCTATATATAGTAGGCCTACTTATGCTAAAACTGTAAGATAAAGATACAATTCTGGTATGTGTTGGAATAAACATGGCACGCAAGGCAAACACGAGGCAAACGGAAGTGGCTAAAGGGAAAAACGCGATGATATTTTGTACTCCCTCCATCCCAATTTTTCTCTTACCTTTGTCCCACTAATTTTGTCTCAACCCATATTTGATAAGATTTGTGTGGCTCGTTCCCTCTTAATCTTTATTACTTTTCAACATCAATATCAATCACATAATTCCACCTTTCTTAATATATGTCCCTCTCCCATGTCCCCAAAAATAGTGGAATAGAGGGAGTTTATTTCACTATTCCTATTTTGAAGTATTCAAAATATTTTAGAAATAGGAAGCTAATTTCTTATTGCTTGAATAGTCGGTCTCTTTTCCTGGTTATGGTAATTTCTATATACCCAGTAGATCTTTACAATCATATACTTGCCTAATAACACATGCAAAAGTTTCCAAGTAAATGGTTCTCGATAATAGAAAACCACCTACTGCTATGTTCTCTGGCTCTCAACATAGACAAAAAGAAGATAGTCCTCTCTAGAGTTCCTCCTCATCCCTCTTTCCACTGCTTTTAAGGCAGGGACCCACCGCCACTCCATTCTTTCATTAAGGGTGAACCTAATGTTGCAGAGCTTGCTGACCAACTGGAAACAAGGAACCATATCCAACGCTCTCTCGAAGATAATCTCAAGAAACACACAACAGAATGAAGTTGCATGAAGTTGCCTGCAGATGGACACCGACGTGAGCTTCAATTCGAAGTAGGTGATGCTTTTTAACTTTGATGTACAAAGCTGGTAATAGGCTTGCGATGGTGGTCGTTGGCTGACAACAGCGGTAGTCATTCCTCTCACTTTCCTCTCCATCTCTCTTATTTCTAATGCCACGTCACTTTCCCTTTAAATAATCCTCTCATCACTTTAGTGTTTCCCCTCATTTTTCTTTCTTTTGTTTTAAAAGGTGGGCCTCACATGTCATACATATTTTTTATCTACATAATTTTTAATATAATAAATCAAATTATTTTATTTCAAACAAAGCAACTAAAGATTTTTCAAACAAAAAAAACCGAATTCCATAAACTCACTTTATCAAACTGAATAGTAAATAATTCTTAAACAACAAATTAATTTTTTTAAAACAAATCACAATTTAAATGATAAAAAAGTTCTCAAAGGACTTCTTTTAACAGAATCCAGAAAAAGGTACTCAGGTTATTTTCTTAAATTTGAGGGAAAAAAGACGAGGTACTCTTGTTGTTGATTTAGATGACAAATGGCTACACAAAAATGATATATTTAGGAATTACGTAATTTTAAATATAATAAACTAATCATAATGAATTTTAAAAAATAAATGTAGATTTATATATATATATATATATGTATGTATGTATGTATCTATATATATATATATATATATATATATATATGTATGTATGTATGTATATATATGTATGTATGTATTTATATATACCAAAAAATGAATTTTTAATACTTGAATAATAAAATATTCATTTAGAACAAATTACATCTTAAAAATAAAAAGAACTCAAAGAAAAATAAACGAGTAGTTTATCCTGAACCCAAAAAAAATTAATTACTCCCTACGTCCTGAAATTGATTACAAACTTTTTTCTCTCCTCTCGATAACTTTTGTTTATTTGTGTGCTTTTGATGAGTATTTGATAAAATAAAATATTAAAATATTCTTGTGACCTCTCGTTTTGTAGAACTTTTGATCTAGTTTTTTAATATGTAATTGTTATTTATTATTGATGTACCAATTTTTAAATAAAATGATTTCGAAAGATGAGATGTTTTGCAACATAACTCCCAATTTGTAATCAAATTAAGGACGGAGGGAGTACTAGCTATGATTGACTAGTAGATGCCCAAAAAAATTCAAAGAGCTATTAAAAAGTTGAATGTGGCTCCACAATTTCACCTTCTTTTGATGCATTTCTATTCCCCTATTCAAATTTACTCCCTTTTTCCTCTTATCAATTTAGCCCTTCCCCTCAATTTCCTCTCTTCCACCTCATCATTACTCAAGCTTTCCATGCCCACTAAGGCCTCGTTCCATTCAACTTATTTTTTTTTTCTTTTTTCTTATTCTTATTAAAATCAGAAGACCAGATCTTCAGATCAGATTAGATCCAATTAGATCAAACCAGATCAGATCACATGAGATCCAATCAAGAATTATTATTATTATTAATTATTATTATTATTATTATTATTATTATTATTACTACTACTACAACTATTACTATTATTATTCTTAAAAATGAAAAAGAATAAACTTTAGAAAAAAGTTAAATAGAAAATTGAGAAAGTAATCCTTAATTATTAGACGTCAGAAAAGTTATTTTTAAAATACATTGACAATGTCAATATAATTCTACTTTTAAAATATATTTTTATTGCTACCAGTAATTTGAGTTTCTAAAATTTTGATCTTTTACTACATCAAGTTGATCAACTTTGATCATGACTTAAATAAAATTAACACTTGATATTCATATACGGGGTATATTTTAGTGTAACTGAAATAACTATTATATCTATGGTGCTATATTAATCATAAAAAAAGTTTCATAGTACAAAGCACACGCTGAAATTTTATAAGGATGAGATATTTTAATAAAAATATTATCTCTTCTCTATATTGATTATCTAAATTTAATTACTTTTTAATGTATATATGAATTAAATATTTATTCTAGTGTATATATGAACTAATTATTAAAATATTAAATCGATATTCTTATTTCATAAAAAAATAATCATAAAATAAAAAGTATTATTACATTATAATATTAATGATTATTCTAATAGATGAATTAACTAATTTTATTTCATTAAAAAATAATCATAAAATAAAAATATTGATTATACTCCCTCCGTCCAAAATTAAACTTTACATTACGCGTTACGATGTTTGACAGACTATGTTTTTCAAATTATTTTATATGAAAAATGGTGTAGAATTAAAAAATAAAAATTACATATTAAAAAACTATATCAAAAGATCTACAAAACTAGAGGTGACATGACTATATTATTTTATCAAATGGGTGACAAAAATAGGCCAACAAAGTGAATAAAGTTTGACCTTTTGAATAGTGAACGTAAAGTTTATTTGTGGACAGAGGGAGTATTATAATATGAATACAAAAGTTATTATAAAATCAGATCAAATTATTGATTTAAATTTTAAATCAAATCACAATTAATCAGATCAGATCCAATCAAGTCAGATCAGAACTACAAAAAAAATCAGATCAGATTACAAAAAATCAGATCAGATCAAATCAGAACTACAAATAATCAGATCAGGTTAGAAAAAATAAGTTGAACAGAACGGAGCCTAAAGTTGCTCTAAGGGTTGTGACATCAAAAGATATCAAATCCTATAGATATTAGGTTTCAGTGCTTCACCAAACACCAAAAATGACTCTCATATCAGAACCAATACCCTTTTGCTCCCAAACACGCCCTTAAGTCTTTGCCCTTAATTCTTTTCTGTTTCTATAAGCTCCAAATTGAGATCATACCAGAATGCAAATGATAATAGCAACATACCTTCAAAATCATCACTGGAGAATGTAGGCATGTAAACATGAGAGCCTGCCTGATTACAAGGTGAAGAAACATAATGTAGTCTAGATGTTTCAGCCTTGATTTTCAAATGGTGCTCCTGGAAACAAAAACTCAAATACAATAATTGCAACAAACAAAACATAATGCTTATTCTACTTAAGTAGAATAGAGATTAGTGAATAATGTGCAGGAAAACAAGCTCCATAACCTGCAAATAGATTACCACCAGAAAAAAACTAAATAGTTAATCCAACAACCAGGATTAGATGATGTAGGGTGAAGAGGAATGCACTCTGAGGTAGCTTATAAAGTAATGTGCCTGGTAAATCAGCTGAATGAAAGAAATTATGATGCTTTGTAATTGCATTGATCATTTAGCAAACAGTATGCTTAGTGAAAACCCACACCATAGTGCTCTCATTAGTGTATGCTTGGAGCTGATAATTTACCGAAGGGAAAAACATCAGAGTACCTTCCTAGCAACCCGCTCTCTTTTCTTTTCCCTTTTTTTAATTTCAATCATGAATGGAGAAAGTGCATCAGCAGGCAATATCTTGCATAGATCAATTTCACAAAGCTGAAAAACAAAGCAAAACAACCATAATGAGACATTATAACATGATTTTTCATGAAATGTTTTTTTTCTGGGGTGAGACAATTTAAACTTTAACTTGGCGGTTACCTGTATTGATGTTCTCAATGAAATATGACTTAAATAGCGGTAGCGTCTCCTAAGAGCCTCTGATTGATTCATTGTCTCCAACTGCAGAATTTTTCCACTGATTCTGTAGTTTGTAGCATTATTTAAAATGTCAATTCTCTATTTCTCTGGTCAAGAGATATATCAAAACCTTAGTGGGAATAAAACATGTCGATTTCCGTATGCATTTGTATCCGGTCTGTACATGTAGTGTTAGGACATGTGTGTGGGAGAAAGGAGAGGGGGGGGGGGTCTAGACTGCCATTTCAAACCAGACGCTTGCAGATATCTTGCAGCAAATGCAACTCCCCAAAAACCAGCCTATCAATTTATAGTTAATTTTGATTAATGAACTACTATTATACTCTGTAAATTAAAGACTCGGTATCCCCGATTTGCTCTTATTCACTGAGTCTGATTGTCTTCTTTCAACGAAAAATTCTTCCTGCATCTCCTTCAAGCATCCGCTTTTTTTTTTGTGATTTTGCCGTTTTCTTTTTCTCAATGCGCAATTGACAAAAAAGCAAATGATTAAGGGAATAGATGAATATTACAAACACTATACACAACAATATGGAGAAAAAACAAGCAACCCAAGTGAATAAGGGCAAAATGGGAAATACAGAGCCTTTAGTTTACTCATTCATATTATTTGCCGAAATGTTAGAGATTGCACATTAGTGCAGAAAGGATCCATGTAGTCTTTACAATAAAAAATTAAATGCCCCTCGTGGTTTTAAAAAAATAGAACCTAGTAGTTCTTACGAGAAAATCAGCATCACCCAAGAGTATTTTTGTGATTTATTGGTAGTTAAGCGACTGCAAGTTTAAGAAAACATAAAGAACATGAATTGAAGGATTTTTGATGAATTCTAGCGATTTATTGAAATTCCAAACTGAAAACGAAGATGAAGAACAGAGTGCTCCAAAAGCATAGCATTATACAGTATCCACTGGCACTGACTACTGAGTTGGTACCTTGGAGTACCTTGAAGACTGTTTTATGTTTTAATTGTTTACTTAATAATGTGCTTTTTTTAATTGCTTCAAATTGAATGCGTTTTGAAAACTTTTGGTTAAATCGAGAATCTATTAATCTGCTAATTTGGGATAACTGGGTCGATGTGTTATAGCAAACATTTACATGTGCAATCTGAGTGATGAACAAAAAAGGACTATGAAGAAAAGTCATCTTCGCTAATATAATTGCATAGAAGACAGCATAATGTCTCCCCCCCCCCTAACCTACCCACCCACACACACAAACAAAAAACCACCCACCCAAAAAGAATAAAAAAGAAAAGAGAAAATCGATATGGATTATGCCTGCATGCGTGTATTGTATGCTTCAGCAAGGAAAGAACCCATCTGATAGATAGGCATTGAGTTCTATTACCTGTTTGGAAGTCGATCATAGCTTCCATAGTAATGCAGAAGGCACTTCATATTTAGTGGGTGAATGATAAGGTGTTGACCATCAGTGGACTGAAAGAAGAAACAATCTAATCATAATTAGACAAGTGCAATAAAGTGTAATGCAAACAACAACAACAACATCCCAGTTGAATCCCACTACAGTAGGGTCTGGGGAGGGTGTGTGTGTACGCAGACCTTGCCCCTACTCGGTAAATGTAATGTAACCATGATACAAAATATTTAACAAGTGCAAGAAGCAAACAATGTGAGAAATATTATTATACTTAAAAAGAACTATATGTGTGTGTTTGTGTTTTATAATTAATGTGATTTGTTACGGAGACTTGAGCTTGTGCAATATTCCATGTTCTTTGTCCAGAAAAATACTGTAAATTGAACTATAACTGATGACTAAAATAACCTGATAGAAAATGTAAGAATCACTATTCTGTGACTCCCTCAAAGCACCAGTAACTTCTATGTTTTTGCCATCATCTTTTGAAGGCAAAGATCCATAGTGATCTTCCATTAATTGAACATCAGCTGCTGGAGTTGGTGAAAGATTTTTTTTTTTACTTGATTTCTCATGCCAATTTGACTTGTTCACAGTTGAGGGAGAACTGTAAGAGTGAGACTTATTTCCATTTGAAACTATGTGCTCATTCCAATATTTCTTTCGTTGCTGCAATTGTTCCATTGCAGCACATACATATGGAAGTTTCTCTAGGTCATCAACCAAACCAGAATTAGCCCTTGCTAACCAACTATCCAGATCAGAGACTGCCTCTCGAACAGAGACATCCACATCTAAGGTAAAAGTGAACTTTGAAAAGGAGTTCAACACTTCTTCGCAGCATAGGCCAACATCATCATTATTCTTTAAAGACAGAGAAAATGAATCCTTTTGGCGGGTTAAAAGCAAAAAGTTTACGTCATCACCCACAAAATATTGCTTAACATTCTCAATCTGAATTGTACACAAGTCCTTGCATGATATCATCGTAAAACATAGAGGACACTTCTTCCAGCATTCACCATTGTAATCATCTCTACCCCCTGAGAAATACTGCATAATGCATGGAAAACAAAAGATATGACCACATGAAGTTATTTGTGGACAGAGAGGATCCTCCAAGCAGATTGGGCACTGTACAGGAAACGATGTGGAGAACTTCACAGAGATGATATCTTCCCAGTCTAACATTTTATCAGGATCCATTAACTCGGGCACATAGATACCCGAACCAAACACAACAAACTTGTAATTAGCTTGAAGAAACAAATCTTTATTGTACGGCTTTCTCTTTGGCAGCCTCCTTGGATGGGGAGCACTGGACTTTGGACGTGAAATGGGATCGTAATGAAAATTCAGCAAGTGATTGCCACTAATCATTTGGGTTCTTCTCCTGGTTGAACGTGGCATGGTTCCTTGAGATCTGGTAGTTCCAATGCTGTTGTCACTGATGAGGGGAACAGATGTTATGGGTGGTGATTTCTGACACTTATTCACTGATATCTGACCAATGTCGTATGCCAAGGATCCAATGTCCTCTTGACTAATCGATAAGTTCACCTACACCATATTAGATACAATTTAACAACTACGCGACAAAATCAGATGCAGGGAGGGGATAGTAATAAGCAGATGGAAAGAAGGAAGCACATTATGTTTGTCCCATGGAGGTGGGCTACTTGAGAGACTGCCTAGGGTCCATAATTTTTAGGTCACAAAAAAATATTATGCCAGTAATGAGTAATCTACCCTATTATTAAAGGAAGTGTTAGGCTTACCTGCACTGCACAGAAGAATGTCATGTGGCAGTCTTTATATATATAAAGATCGACTCAGAAATTGATGAGTCGATCCACCAACACTTCTTTTTACTGGGATATCGAGATTTACTCCACGTCATGGACATCCCATTTTTCTATGTTCTCTAGACTTGTATGTAACGATAGAAAATAAAAATAAATATTACTCGCTCCTTTCGAAAATTAACTTTCCTTTCACTATTCACAATGTCAAACTTTATTCATTTTGTTTACTTATTTTCACTACTCATTCCAATATTTAATATAGTCATGTCACCTCTTGTTTTGTAGAACTTTTTTGTTTTTTTAATATATAAATTTTATGCTTGAATATTACACTCATGATCAAATAAGTTGAATTGAAAATAACTTCAGTCAAACCTTGTACACCAAAATGGGAAATTCATATCCGGATAGAGGGAGTATATATAATGTGAGAATTTTTTTATAGAACTTTTTTCTCATGTATAATGTAAGAATCGATAGCCTTGGTTTGCTAAAACCTCTTGACGACATTCTCTCACCCCCTTTCCTCAAAGAGGCGGCACAACACCACCTCTTCACGTAAAGTGAGATGGAAGAGGCAGTGCTAGGCACTAGCCATTCACGCCTTAGTTACAGGCGCAAGGTCTTTACCTCCCATGATTGAAGTAGAGTTCTCTCAATCTCTTGCCTCAGAGAGGTGACACAACACCACTTCTTCAAGTAAAGCGAGATGGAAGAGGTGACGCTAGGCTCTAGCCTTTCACGCCTATGTTACGAGCCCAAGGTGTTTTGGAATTAAGAGGTTTATTGCACTATATTTATAATAATTATCCACACACACACACATACACACATACATACATATATACATACATACGTAGGTTTCGGTGAGAATGAGATCTAATGAAATAAACGAGAATGCACGTGGTGCATTAGAGTGTTAGATTTAAGGGTCATAAAAATTAGAAAAATACAAAAACATCTGCAAAAACACAGTGGCATTTTAGTAAATAAGTCAAAGTTTGATGCCACAGCAAAAATGCACTGCCAAAATGTAAATGTGCATTTTGATGGACGAAAAATGCACCATTAGCATTTCTCGTGTTAAGAGTCATTCTCACATGAACTGCACCATGCCACCATGTGTGTGTGTGTTGCTAAATCCACTCCATTATGGCTAAATCCTCTCCATTAAATGTTAAATTGAAAACTTTCCACTTAAAACACAAAGAAGGATATTATATGTTTGCCAACATTAAAAGGTAAATTTGTCCATTTAAAATAAATGGAGTGGATTTAGTCATATAGCAACACCCTGTGTGTGTGACTGTGTGTGTGTGTATAGTGGGGTTGGTTTTGCGGAGAAGAAGACCAACCAATTAGGCAATATTGAAAGCCGATCGGAAATCCCTGGAATGCCCTTACTATAAATGGAAAGGAGAATTGCCAGAGATCAAGACCGGGGGGTTATTATTCATTCTTATTTCTTTCATTACATCTCATTCTTACCAGAACCAAAGTCTATATATATACGTACATGCATACATACATATATATATAATACATACATGTATATATCATATATACATGGATACATATATGCATGCAGGCATATGTGTATATGTTTTATAACTTCGCCTTTCGTCGTGTGCCTCTCACCTTGAAAACTACCTCTCGCTAGTCTCTTGCCTTGAAAAGCTACCTCTCGCTTGTGTCTTTCCTTGAAAAACAACATCTCACCTTCCATAATTGTTCCTCTTGATTTGATGTTTGACATATAATGATATACAAACTAACGTTTAGTCAATTGTTGAAGAACACCCCTAACCCATTAAAACATTACAATCCTCGTATGTGTGCATGCATATATATCTACATAGATTTGTGTGTAAAAGTGTTGATGAGATGAGGGTACGCACGCAATGCTTGGCTTTTTCCACTTTTGATTTTCTATTTAAAGTGATACAATTCAACATTTCAACGTCACTCTCTCTATGCTCTAATCTTTAATCATCATGCATTAATTCAATTAATCACAATTTCTTTGCCTCTTAAAATTCTATGTAAATTCGGAATCGAAGAGGGACGGCACTTACTCAAACATCCCTAAGAGAGTGAAGAAATCCATTTTGAATCAGAGAGAATGGTTTCTCACTGGAAAAAGCCTCTCTACTTTTAAGTAGGGGGGGGTAAGGTCTTGTAAGCACACCACAAAGGCCAGACCCTATTTTGTAGGATTCAACTGGGTTGTTGTTGTAAAAAAATGGCTTCGCTAGATCAAAGAAAGAACCGGTTTGAACTCCATCCCATTTCGAACTCACTGTATAATCCTCTTCTCTAAATAACCATATTTTTTGAACTCCAATTGTCAATCTTAACTCGTTTGAACACGGTGATATTACTTTATTCTTTCTTTCTTTAACTAAACTGTTTTCTTCATTCACCATCGGTTCATTGATTATGACTAGTAACAAAACCGCTCCTTTGAGTAGTAGTAGTAGTAGTAGTGATAAGTTAATATATTTTACGTTTACTATAGGTGTTGTCTTTCGTTCCAACCTATTCTATTCCAAAAATTGTCATTTCTCGTACCCGTACCCGATCATGTTTGCATAGTCATTCGGGTTTTACTTATATCATAACCTCCATCATCCCCACTTATACACTGTTTTTTTATTTAAAATTTGAATAATAAAGCACAGTTATACCACAGAATTAGAATAACTTGCATCTTCATTAGAAAATAATAAACTCATAGTGTTTGATATTAATATATAAAATTCTCATGTATACTTCTTTCAATGATAAAGCAATTCTCTCATAAAAAAGTGAGATTTACTAAACTACCAAAACTAGAGTATGATAGTGTTTTGTTTATGTAAGAATCACCATACATGTTTTCAAGAAAATCAGACTAAAAAAAGATATACTCCCTCCGTCCAAAATTAATGTTCTCACTTTGACTTGGCACGGAGTTTAATAAAAATTGAAATTTGCTTTGACTTCCCCAAAATGCCCCTCAACCCTACCCACAACCCTTCCATGTTGACTGCCTATGCGTTCTTGCAGCCCAACCCCATCATTCACCAGAGAGAAATTCCGGCGATTCCGGCAATCGAAATCCGGCAAATTTCCGACCAGTGTAAAAATCCGGAGACCCAAGCTGAGCATCCTGTTCGCGCACTATGGTGTAAAAATCGAAGGAGATGAATAAGATGAAAAAGACTTGAATCAAATTTCTTCATTAACTCCGAAGAAGATGAAGATGGAATAGATCTGAAGACGGTTCTTCTTTCATTCCCAGATCTGAATCGGAAGGTACAAATCGAAAGGGGGAAGAAGAGGGAGAAGAAGAAGAAGAAGAAGAAGAAGAAGAAGAAGAAGAAGAAGAAGAAGAAAAAGAAGAAGAAGAAGAAGAAGAAGAAGAGAAATGAAAAATTGAAAGGGGGGACAAAGAGGAAATAAAATTTGAAGGAGATGAAGAAAGAAGAAGAAGAAGAAGAAAGAGGAAGAAGAAGATAAGGAACGAGAGAAGAAGAAAAGAGGAAAGAAAAGAAAGAAAAAGTGGTGGCTAGGATTTTTGGGAAAGAAACAGCGGATGGGGAAGGAAAAAGAAAAAGAAAAATAGGGAGTGGGTGGGGAGGGTAATTTAGACTTTTTGGTATGAAAAACTTTCCAAAAATAGAAATGGGAAGATTATTTTTGGACGGACGAAAAAGGAANATAAAATTTGAAGGAGATGAAGAAAGAAGAAGAAGAAGAAGAAAGAGGAAGAAGAAGATAAGGAACGAGAGAAGAAGAAAAGAGGAAAGAAAAGAAAGAAAAAGTGGTGGCTAGGATTTTTGGGAAAGAAACAGCGGATGGGGAAGGAAAAAGAAAAAGAAAAATAGGGAGTGGGTGGGGAGGGTAATTTAGACTTTTTGGTATGAAAAACTTTCCAAAAATAGAAATGGGAAGATTATTTTTGGACGGACGAAAAAGGAAAGTGAGAACTTTATTTGTGGACGGAGGGAGTACTCTGCAATATGGAAAGTATTTGTTAATTCAATCTCTTAGCATTATCATGTCTTAATAAATGAGTTGTATCCCAAAAAAAACCAACATTAAAAATTTATTCAATCTCTTCGTGTTCTAATGTTTTCAATAATTAATTTGTATTAGTTGATTAATACACTGCTACGCGGCCATTCTCAAAACTAAAACTCAAGTTGTACTTAGTTGCTTCATCCTCCTTTGTCGGTACTTATTTCATTATCATCAATCATTGCAGAAGAAATAAAATTATTTGGGAAAGTCATGTAAATAGTATAAATCCATGTGTATTCATGTGATATAGAAGTACAGAACGGGTACAAGATTTGATTATATACTTGAAAATATATATCTCCATGCCCCATGAAAAGAGTCATGGTTTACCGATCTACAACTATTCAAAATTTTAGTATGGATCTATATCTTTATTGTTAACATTTACGGGGTATATGTTAAACTTTATTGTTAAAAGTGTTTATTTAAAAAATAGACATATAACAAAAATTGGCATCTTGTTCAAATAGAAGTCTTTTTTAGAGAAATAAGAAAGTTGTCAAAACGTACTTTCTTAAGGGACTGAGAAAGTTGTGAATTTGGATTTGCAAATGTTATTGGTAGCGCCAAACATGTGATGAGATGAGGATTTGAACATGATCTGTTCTATAGGTTGTACCTCCAAATCCTTTATACTAAGGAGATAACTAAGAAAGTCTATTGAGCTCTCTAGTTTTTTATATATTGAATATCAAATGTTTGGGCATTTGGCCCACTTAATCCTAGAGTTAAATATTAGAGCACGTAAGATGACATTTTGTTAAAAACATTTTGAAACTATTATGAATAACGAAAGTCTTATGATCTAGAGGGTGAAATTCTTTATCGTTTAATTAGCATGTCCTTAGAGAGGTTTTAATTATTGAATCTGAAAAAAGCTTTATGATAGTGAATGGTTTGAAGATGATAATGCTTTACTAACTTTTAAGTATTAATTATTGTTGCAACTTCGTAAATTTTTTTCAAATTGAAGTTGTCAAAAACATTTTGAAGTCTATAATGTGAGAAGGTAGCTAGAACAATAGTTTATTCATTTTTATAAAATTTGACTATTTGCTTTGTAGAATCTTGATTATGTATGGGTGCAACCAAAAAAAATGCGACGAAGACAGTAATCATATTATAAAAGTCAAAGCCAAAAGGTGAAGGCCCAATATCATTGATTCATGATTAATTCATCCCCAGAACTCAAAACCTCAAAGGTTGCACTGTGTTCCTTATTTGCAAAAGTAAGACTATAAGGATAAAAGCAGTGAATTACCGTTTCTGAAGACACACGGGAATCAAATGTAGAAGCACCCATTGAGCTTGTTTCTGTAAGAGAGAAATTGCACACACATGCACACATAAGAATACATATGACATCCTAGCAAAACGTAGCATACATCGAATAGATAAATCAATAAATAAATGCTACCTCAAAACTTTGATCATCAATTAAATAAAAATTACATTGTAGTTTTATTGCATCCATTTTGCATGACCTCTCAAAAATCTATTTCATTGCATTAATATGTAATGCACTTATAATAAAATTTATGATTTGACTCAATAAAGTCAAACAGGAGGGAGGTAATAAATAAATAAGTTAATAAGTAAATAAATGGAAGATGTTCCTCGCCCCTACTGCAACCGCAGTCACTCCAAATCAAGATTCGGGATATGTGGGGAGGGGGTTGAAGCAAATCTGTATCACACAGCTAGAAGAAAGCATAGCCAGTATTCTTGCTAGTACTAAAATTGTTAACCAAAATATAAAGTATTGAAAAAGGGGCAAACTAAGAAACAAGGACACCTGATAAATTGCAGTAGGAAGATGAAGAAGAACCGGAATCGGCGACTCGTCTGGAGTCCAAACCGTAGATGAACAAAGAGGGGTCTTCTAGCTTGGGTTGATTTGGGAAAGGAACGAATCCATTATTAGAATTGGGGTTTGGAGAGAAGTCCAGATGCGAAGAGGAACACGAAGCTGAATCGAGCTGAACCTTCGAAGGCGAGATGGACATGAAAGTTCTGTGGAATTTTTCGGTAGAGCCGGTAGAGGTATCCTTTCGCTGTTTTCAAGCTAGCCCGGCGTTGTGGTTTTGGGAATGTAAGGCCTGTTTGGTTAGGGGGAGGGGAGAGGAAGGATTGAAGGAAAATGATGGGGGAAAATTATTACTCCTTATTTACGTTTAGAGCATTGACAATGGTAAGGCAAAAATGAAATGCCACACGGTGACATAGATTATTTTAACCAATAAAAAGTAACTCAATCACCGTGTGGCAAATGAGTGGAGTGTTGTAACATACAGTGGTAAGTCATTGTTTTTGTCTATTTTTACACTTTTTAATGATTTTTAATTATAAAAAATTATTTTAAAAATTTCTTTTATTATTAAAATATGTTTACTTCTTTTAAAAAATATTTTTTTACAAAAATTAAAAATATTAAAAATATTTAAAAAAATAAAAATGAGAGAGTCATGTCTTGCACATGGAATAAAAAGTGGGGTGCAATGGTCATAGAATGTCATGATTTGAGTAAAATTTGCTGACATTGCATGGTAAGACAAGGCATTGTCTTGCCATTGTGCATACTCTTAGGCGTGTTCGGGTAATGTATGTACTGGGTTTGTGCTCTATAATTTAACCAAGGGAGAAAACTAAAATATCACTCTTAGGACCTGTTCTTTAGAACTGTAAAAAAGAACTGGATGTTGGAAGAAACTTAAAAAACTAGAAGAAATTGGAAAAAACTGAAAGAAACTGGAAGGAACTGGAAAAAACTAGAAGGAACTAGAAAAAACTAGAAAAAACTGGAAGAAACTAGAAAAACTGGAAAACTTTAAAAATATTTATTTTAAATTCTTGTTGTTATAAATTATTATTATTATTATTATTATTATTATTATTATTATTATTATTATTATTATTATTATTATTTTATTATTATTATTATTATTATTATTATTATAATTATTATTATTATCATCATCATCATCATCATTATCATTATCATTATCATCATCATCGACATCATCATCATAATCACCATCGTCATCACGTTATCTTAGTGAATTTCTTTAAGATATAAAAAAAGTATTGTTATTTTTTAAATACAAAAAACTACTTTTACAAAAAATAATTATAATATAAAGTTAGCATAAATATAAAAATTTTAAATTTTAAAAAGACTGTGTAGTTATATTGCACCTCAATTTATTTATGTATTATTTATTATAAATAATATATTTGTAATTATAATTTATATATAAAAAAATTTTGTTTTAAATATCATACATGTCACATAATCAAACATATTATTTCTTTCATAATTGACATTTTATTTTCATTGAATTCCTATTTTTAAAATAGAGACATAGAACTTTTTTGTTTACATTTTTTATGTTTTAATCATATTTTAGTCTTTTTCTCAAAACTCTTTTGACTTACAATTTTTTTTATAAAATTTAGAAAAATGAACAATTTTTAAGTAACAAAGAGAAAACTGAGATGTCTTATAAAAAATTATATTAATAAAAAATTCAATGTAACTATTTTATCCATAATTATTTAGTTTAATTTAACATATTGATGTTTTCCTATTTTATCATGTAGACTAATATACAAAAAAATGTCTTATTTATATTAAAAAGTTGAAGAAAAAAATAATGAGTGTGAATCGTAAAAATAGTGAAATGAAAAAAAAACTAATTTATAAACTATAGTTATGAATATAACAGTTGTAATAATAATAATAATAATAATCACATTGAAATATATAATTTTTAGAGTAATTGGTTGAGAGGTAGAAAGAATTTGAAGAAAATGAGAAAAGTTGGAAGAAACTGGAACAAACTGGAAGGACTGGAAGAAATTGGAACAAACTCAAAAGAAGTGGAAGAAACTGGAAGAAATGGAAGAAACTGAAAGGAACTGGAAAAAACTAAATAAACTGGAAGAAACTGTAAGTTAAGAGTTCAAGATCTAAAGAACAGGCTTTTAGAGTATTAAAATACTCTAAGTAGCAGTGTTATATGTTTCTATTGGTGAGCTTTAATTTGTAGTGTAGTGTGGTGAGCTTAACGTCATTTCACCGAAGCATGTCATCTGATTGGAGTCAATCACACACACACACAGAGATATATATATATATATATATATAGGGATTGACTCCAGTCAGATGACATCTTTAGGTCAGATGACACTTTCGGTCAGATGACATGCATCAGAATGAGCACTACCTTAATTCAGAATGAACACTGCACTGAGCAGACTGTGAATGAGTACTAGGTTCTTTCAGAATGAGTACTACGTTTATAATGAACAAATGTGTGAAAATCGACCCTACAATGTCTTAGAATGAACACTATGTGGATTCAAAATGAACCCTATGTTGTCGTCTCGCTGGCTATGAATGAACACTACATTGTGATGAACAGTTGTGTGAGAATGAATCCTACAATGTTTAAGAATGAGCACTACATTGATTCAGAATGAGCATTCGTTGTCATATGACCGAAACATGTCATCTGACTGGAGTCAATCCCATATATATATATATATATATATATACTTTGACGGATGAAATGGGGTAAACGGAGAAAGTGATGGAAAATATCTTCTTGATAAGTTTTTTTAAAATCTAAGGTACCTGAGAGTATATTTTAAAAATTAGGAGTACTGAGCGGTTCTTATCACAAAACATGAGGTACCCGGCAACAGTTTTTCGCAAAATATAATGTCAAACGAAGCCTTGGACTCAATTTGGATGGGAAGTGAAAACCACGGAAACCATCACCCCGTTTGTTAGAAAGTAATTGCATGCAACACAGTATAATCCCAACTCCATTAGAGTATGGGGATCGAGTTGAACGCAGCCTTACCTTGTAAAAACTGAGATTCTGTTACCACTAGACAGTTGATGCTTTGCGGGAATGCAACCTATACTATGCAAAATTTCCATGAATAGGAAACCAATTAAGTTCAATATTACATTTGGAATTAATTAATCCATTATTAAGACGGAGCTAAAACATCATAAAAAATGACTAGCTCTGATCCATTGATAACGAACCAATATAAAATAATCTTTGAGGGGAGTAATTCATTTATAGAAAAGTATTGGCATTCAATTTCGTCCTCAAAGCCACTAGGCATAGTAGTATAGTACAATCTTTAAAGGGAAATCAAAACCTCCAGGTTTCAGCAGAACCATTAAATCTTTTTAATGGTCTGCAATTACAAGTAGTTAGTTTGAACCATTAACCTGGCCAAGAATGCCAGCCAAGTGTTTTGAATTGTCTTGGTGACATTTCGGACACACCAATTTCCCTTGCAGCTCTTCACCGAGGAATGCACAATGATTCTCCAACACTATAGACTTCTTGCTTCAAGTCAAGTGTAAAACATAGTTCTTGAGCATCTGACAATGCGAAAAAATTAAGTAAAATAACTGCAAGAGTTCTTCTCAAGCCACTGCACAAGCTAATTGTGTAGCATTTGCATTATATAGAACTCCCAATTATCTTGCAATAATTATATACATGTATGTGAGAGAGATAGAGAGAGAGGGAGGGAGGATATTTATTCAACTCCTGCCGCTTGATGCTTTCCTTCATTACTGCCTCCATCAACTTTGCTCTCCTGGCCACAATACTTTGTTCTTCCTCGACCTGTATATGCCCCATACAACTCAGTCTATTAAGGTGGCAAGAAACTCAGTCTATAGATATACATACATAAATAGAAATACTATGAACCAGAAACTCGTCTTGAGTGTATTAAGAAAGGGAAACTTGAGACAATAAAAAAAAGGAAAGAGAATGTTGAACCTGCTTTTGCACATTCTTCATTGTTTGATAATCTTCTTCCTCCATAGTGATCTGGCTAACTAGATGAGCAAGCTTATCCTCAAGATTCCTCTTGGCTAGTTCATTGGGCTTATCTGAATCTGTATTTAATTATTTCCAAGAAAATCTTGTCAGCATTAATGAGATATTAAAATTTAAAATATTTCCCCCCCAATCCCACACTTCAGTGCAAATGTGGTGTGGTCTATTCAGTATTTCAGTTGATAACTTTTTAAACCTTTTGTAACCAAATGTTTTCCACAAGAGCAAATGCAAAGAATAGTTGTTATCTTTGTGCATAACCCATACCAGAGTTTGATTTTCTCTTGCTGAAAGCTGAACCTATTGCCTCGTAGAATTTCCTGTTTGAGGGAGCAGAAAGCAGTTAATCTTCTCCAAGTAAAACCAGAGAGATCCAAAAAAAATTATTCGAGCACATGACACACCGATAGACAATACACTTGTTTGCAGATATTTGAAGCCTATATTTGATGCAACCCATCTCAAACACATAACTGATCTTATCCATCTGAAACTCTCCCCCATAAATTTGGACTCACACATCTACATTTTAAAACCAACATACTGGAGAGCTTAAACATACTTGCTTTCGATACAACTTTTTACCAAACCGTCAGTAACATATCGAACCAAAGTAAGATCATAATTGAGGGCACAATCATTTATTTACCACTTGTACAACTAGATACACGCAAAAAAGGTACCTACCTAATTTCTGTGTTGAGCTCAACCATCCTTTTTATGAAATCCTCTCTGTGCATGTACCAGTAAAGACACCAATGAATTACTCCGTTGTAATGTAATATAGGCATATGATCATCACGCGATGCTTTGAGAATCACTTTATAATGGCAACCAAAGAATAATACAGAGGAAGCAAAAGGTTCATTTATGCTTACCTTGATGTGCTTTCTTCATCCTTTGCAAGACTCGTATGACATTATTCAGCGTAAATTGAATGTTAGTTGCGAAAACAAAATCTTTCAATGACTAGGCAGATATCCCCAGAAAATAACAGTTAATGTACCTTAAGAGTGTTTAGACTAGAACCAATGGCTGATATCTCTTCTTGGGTAGAAGCAATCCGTATCTATAACCAATTAAACAATAGCTTAAAACCACTTGAAACCTTAAAATTTTTTTAGAATAACCTCAAGTATCATTCTAGATGTCAGTTTCCCAATTGACATGAAATTAAGGTAATTGGAGCATTGATTAACCTCGAGAGTTTGAATTGAAGCCCCGCTCATGCCCAATTCTACTTCATTTCCTTTTAGCTCTTGTTCAATTGATTCCTTGACCTGCTTAGCTTCTTCAAGGTTCGCATGAGCAGCATCTATCTCAGATAGAAGCTCTCCGATTCGGTTCTTCAGATTCGCGATTCTCCTCTCTGCGAGCACAGAAGCATATGCACACACAACTCAGTCCAAGTAAAATATTTCCATTCACGTTTACTTCCAGGAAATATGTCAAATGAAAGTTCTAATATGGAACTTATTTAAAAAATCACCTCCTTGAGATTTTTCGGATGCGAAGTCCCGAATTAGGGTTAGCAGTTGTTTCTGCGAATCGCAACCCGCCATCTCTCTCATGTAAAATTTGAACTCCAAACTCCTGACTTAGGGGTTTCTATTACTCCGTACTTATTTATAGATTCATACGTGGTGGTGAAAATTCCAACCACCCCATCCGAGAAATATATGGTACAACCGGATGTACCTAGAGATAGGTAAATCCGATTAATACTCATTTTGAAGAAGGTTAGTATTTATTCTCGCACCAACATAACTATTTATTTAGAATTAGCGTGATAGTCATTCTAAAATAACGTAGTACTCATTCAGAAATAATGTAGTACTCATTTTCACACATTTATTCATTACAATTATAATATTCATTCAGAAATAACGTAATGTTCATTCTAAATTAAAATAGTACTCATTCTCAAAAAATATAATGCTCATTCTCAAATAAAATAAAACTCATACCATAAATAACTTTTCTCTCCCGGCTTCAACCCGACTAGGGTTTTCATCCGAGGCCTCTCCTCCCATCTAGCGCCTTTCTTCATCATCAACCTTTGTATGTAAAGCAGCGGAAACCTTCACCCATCGATCTTCCTTCTCTAATGTTTTCAACCAATTTTTGTCACCATCACTCCTCGTCATCCTCGCTGCTCCACCGTCTTCGTCTTCGCTGCTCCATGTCTTTCGTCTACGGTGGCCCGACCCGACAAACAGAGGAGCGGCTTCAACTCAAGCGGCTTCCGTTCCATTAATTTTTCTTCCCAAATTAGCCGATTTTATCCAATTCCAAGTACAACCTGATGTACGATATAATTTGCCCGCATCCCGTTCTTAAAAATGAGTAAATATCTCGAGTAAATTCCATAATTGGTCATTTATAACATGGGGGTTTCCATATATAGTCCTCTATTATCAAATATTACCCCGTAGCCTTTTTTTAAAGGTGTCTTTCCACTAATGATCCTTTTTTAATCTTCTGCCATGTTGGTGTTAATTTAAATGCTAAATGCATACTTTGACATCAACATTATGTTTAGTGACGTGTTCTGATATTGGTTAAGCAGATAACACAAAACTAATGATTATAATTATGTGCTAAGATTCGAATGAAAGACCACATTTGTAGACTATGGTTGTGGTAGATAGCGACTGTAATTCACAAACGATGCAAACGGAACAACCGTTGGAATTGTATATGACAAAAAAGAAATATTATCATTGTGAAATTATACTTTTAGCACTTAAATTAACACTAACATGATAAAAGATAAAAATAGACTATTTGTGGAAAAATACCCATAAAAGAAGGACCACTGGGTAATACTTGATAATAGTGGACAAAATAGAGAAATCCCCCTATTATAAAGGACCAGTTATGGAATTTACTCAAACATCTCCTATCTCCTTATATATATATATATATATATATACACACACACACACACACACATACTAGCATTTGCACACGTGACCACATTTGTAGACTATGGTTGAAGTAGATGGCGACTGTAATTCACAAACGACGAAAATGGAACAACCTTTGGAATTGTATATGACAAAAAAGAAATATTATCATTGTGAAATTATACTTTTAGCACTTAAATTAACACCAACATGATAATAGACTATTTGTGGAAAGATACCCATAAAAGAAGGACCACGGAGTAATATTTGATAATAGAGGACTAAATAGAGAAATCCCCCTATTATAAAGGACCAGTTATGAAATTTACTCAAACATCTCCTATCTCCTAATCACCTAATAATAATATAATAATAATTATATATATATATATATATATATACACACACACACACGCGCGCGCGCGCGCATACATACTAGCATTTGCACGCGTGTTGCACGAGATTTAGTGCCCGATCACTTTTTTTTCGAAGAATGGTTATGTTATTTTTTAGTAACTTATTGAATATTATGTAATAATATTGTGTACGTACTAATAAACAGTGATTGCAATGATTTTTAAAGAATGGCAATAATATGTAAATTATTGGGTAAGAACTATGTGATTGTCATTTTTTAAACCGTTTAAAAAATGAATAAGATTAATGGTAAGAAAGAATACATGATGTAGGGAAATAATATGTACAGGAATGAATTAAAAGTCACATAGCGTTCAAGGATGGAATGTAATTTATTAACTAATGTCTTAATACAAAGTAGACATGCATAATATACATCCAATGGAATGGGGCATACCCCTTTTATACAAAGTTTAGCCATGGTGAACAAAACAAACAAAGAAAGGAAGTGAGTAAGAAGAACATTAAAACTTTAAAAAGGGATAAGTGAGAAGGAAGACTCAAAGTCGTATCCAGTATCCAGAGTGAAGGGATAAGTTGTGTGCACACCTACCACAAAAAGATTACACCAAATGATCAAAAAAGATTACACCAGAAGATGGGAGATCATTACTTTTCACATGGATCACATATGAGGAATTAACCTAATGCAAAATAGTTTGAATTCAAGCAAATAATGATGGGAGATCATTAGTTTTCACACGAATCACATATAAGCAAAAGTTGGTTGGATGCAAATTTGTATGATTTTATGGTTTAATTAGAGAATATGTTGTTTTTATATGGCCATCATATAGAGCTATATTTTTATTGCCTTCACCTAAAACGGAAAAGAAGTAACCACTAAGGTCAATTTCATCTTGCGTAATTGCATATATTCAACTAAACATTGAATATTTCATATTATAAGAACCTTTGTTTAAATGTTACTTATATTGAAATCACACTATATAGCTAAATTCATTATAAAATATGAATGCAATAAGAATACATGATAGTGAGATACAGAAGATGATTCAGGGAAATGGACACAATTAAGATTAACAAATTGGAGGTCAATATCCCAAACCCCCAAAAAACCTTCGAAAAAGGTTTGAATCCATAGCAGAAATAGGTGTCTATACATCCCCATAATGACAAATACAAATTTTAAAATCACCAAAAACCAGAACTTATAACTCAAATTCATATAATTGAGGATATTGGGATTTGGAAGTACCCGAAATCAATGACGTGCTTGCGGAGATGGGCAGGAAAAAGACTGGCAGCAAATGGGAGGGAGGGATATATATATATATATATATGATCGAATTATAATCGCCAAAATTCAATTATGCACACATGGACATATCATGTGATAGAAAAAAGGTAAAACAAACATTTTTCCTATACACATCATTAATTTCCTATAAAGATTTGCATCAACAAAAGATTAATACCTCTGTTTTAGAATGTATTAACGGGTTTTTCTTTGTCAAAGATATCATGAAAATGAAAGTATTAAGCATAGTAATAAAAAAAGGATTAGCTGAAATATGATCAGTCTCTCCTAGCAAGAATCCAAACAAAATAATTATATTAAATCTTGATGGAAGCACCATGTGAGTGATTTGGGAATTATGAATGTCTTAGCTGCCTTGAGTTGACCAAATTCATCATTTTCAACCCATCAGATGAAATTTTTCTACAACCCTTAATGTTGTGTTGAGGAATGTGTTATTTTTTTACAGAAATTCAGAGATGTTTTAAAACTATGAACTTTCAGCTTTGGGAATCTTTTGTGTGGTTGTAATTGTTATCCATTCTCTGAAAAAAACATTCCTACATCTCTCCTTCATTTTACTCTATCTTTTACTATTTAATCTGTTTGTTCTTTACGTTCCCTCTAGGGCTCTATCACACATTACAAAGTAGAATTTGACTCTAGGAGGTTTTAAAATAAGAAACACTAAGATTTTAACTCTCCATTTACTCTCTGAATAGTTTCTAAACAATCTAGAATTTATAGGATCCACAATCACACACAATAAATATGAATTCAAAGAAATTACTTTTAGAATGATTAAACACAATGTTAGAACACTAACGCCCCGAAGAATAATAACAATGTATAACAGTGTTTAAAACAATATATTGAACTGATTTTAGAAAAAAGTAAAAGAAATTGGTTTTCTCTACCTGTAAAATATCAGATTACTCCATTGCTCCCTCCAATTGAGCGGATGAAAACCCCTAGCTGTTGACTACTGCATGAATGGAGGTGCAAAGCATTACATAGGAATTACTTTTAGAATGATTAAACACAATATTAGAACACGAACAAACAATCCAATTAGGATTATATCCGAACAACTACAAGAACAAGAACTAAAAAAATGCACAATATTAGAATACTAACCACCCGAGCAAGAAATAAAATAAGGGGAAATTCCTAACAACAATGAGAACAAGAGCAATGCATAGCAGTGATTGCCTGAAGATATTGAATTGATTTTAGGTCTAATCAAGAAAACAGGTTTAAGTCATTATTCATATCACTTTTTTTTGGACGAAAGCAATGGTCTTATATGTTGATTTAGCAAACAGAAGAAAGTATTATCTTTAATAACATGGCTGGAGTATGCCTTGAGGGATATTGTTGGTAGTTTCTAAGCATTTTTTAAAAAGTATCTGTAAAGTCAATAATTAGTATTTGCATATCTGTAGAAGGGAAAAATGTTCAGTTCAGATGGATGGAGTAGAGTTTTGCAGTATTAAGAAAGAATTAAAACCTCAGCAGCAAGCATTTCCATTTGCATCCAATGGCATGGAGCATTATAAGGGCTGAATACATATTACCGACAGAATACACAACATTCCTCTCTTCTAATTGTAGGGGTTGTTGACTGGTAACCCTGTACGTCAAAATAACATTAGTCTGGGTTTGGCTACTTGGGGTTAGGTTCTAGGTTTGGGTTAGAGTCTGTTTTTTGGTGTGGGTTTAAGGTTTAGATCTGCGCTTTAGGCTTTGGTAGATCAGAGCTGGTTTTGGAGCATGATTTAACTTTTTCTATTAGTTAAATTAGGTTGCTTGGTGAGAGGATATTACCAGTTACATTACCCTTGTGTGGGACCCTTTTATTGGGGTATACTTTGTGTATGACGACGCCCATAGCCAAAGACAAAAGCAAACAGCCTTGAACACTATCATTATGTTTGGTTGAGGGAATTATGAAGGATAGAAAAAGAAATTGATTTCTCCTTTTCCTCACCAAAATGAAAGGAATCATGTTTTCTCTCTTCTTAGCTTATTTTAGGTTATCATTTTCTTTTCCATCCATTTTTGTTTTCTTTTCTTTTCTATATCATTTCCGTGTCTTTTCCCTCTCAAAATTCTTGATCCAAACATAGTGTATAGGCTGAGTACAGTTCTTAGACACGAATATCCCTATTTGCCTTTTTCCATATGGTAAAAAACTAATGTAATAGGGCCATAGCTTTTATACATACCTTCTGCTGGCCACCTTGCATATGGAACAAGCCATAGTAATAATAAAAATATCATAATTTTTTCCTTTAGAATAAGAATATCAAAGCATTTAAATAAATGAACACAAGCACTGTGAAAAGGAAATGAGGTCTTTCAGAAGAAAATGAGTTGTAAACGAAGAATACAAAAAAGCGACCAGATGTGTGAACCGTCCAATTATCCACTACCTTCTAGTTAATAGTACCAAATTACCAATGAAATGTAACAATAAAAAAACAGAGATGCTAAGATATGAAATTGTGAAATGGAAGCCACAGAGTTAGGGTTTCAAGAAGCAAAGCAACTACCTTCAAGTTGAAGTGTCTCTTGAGCCCAAGATTTGGTAGCATCAAGTGATTTCCCGAAAGACGCCAACACTGCATTACCGCGTCGTTGCACGACCGGTATTCTGTAGATGCAAGTGAACCTCGCTTCTGACTTGCTTGCTTACCAAGCCATTCTGGCAAAGTCATCTAGTTTGATTCTTATTCTTGTCTTGACTTATTAATAAAACAACTCACTAACCAAATGAAAGACAACCGATTATCTATCCAAGAAGATAGAGAGTCGCGCATATAAAAAAGGTCACAAATAGAGTTAAACCAAGTATGGAAGGCATAATCATAATAGGGTCGGGATATCTCCGCCCTCCGAACAGGTTCTACTTCTCACACTTTTACTACTAACTATGATTGAACACTCAATACTCACATCCAATTTCCCTCAAGCATGTAGTAAATAGGGCAGGGGGGGCATGAGTCGATTCAGTTAACATGAGCGAACAGTTCTGGAGTACACTTGAGTACCTGTTTTTTTGAGTTCTGGGGTTGTTATAAGATTCTAGAATCTTAGTGTTTCAGCACGTGCAGCAGATGCTTCAACGCAAACATCTGGCCTCTGCACAAGAAATATGAGTGTGAGTATTGTTATCATTTACTATGCACAGTGTGAGAAATGTTATGATATTAATTTCGTGAGTAAAAGACGAAAGGTAGTCCAACTTGAGGGTCATACAAAAAACTTTAGAGGTATCTTTAGTACTGCATATGTTTTGGACTGGCAGCGTATGTACAGCGTGAATGAATGCACTTGGAGTTCACATATATTTGTAGCTCCAATTGTTTTACATATTCTTCTAAACTCTTATACTGTAAGAATAAGGGTCATACCTCCAGTTTTTCTGAGGATGACAGTAATGACGATGCCTCTGTCAACGCTGATGAGAACACTAAGGTTGATGAAACTGAAGAATACTTGAAAAGAACTTGAAGAATGTATTTCTCACCATGTCTAGTTCGGACAAGATCTATTGGCACGCCTGGGGCATATTTTTTCAACTCAGGGATGCATTGGAAGAAGATTTATCAATGTTCGAATCAACTTTTAAGAAATCAAACACAAACAAGGGGAAAAAGGAATAAAACATACAATTTTATTGAGAAATTAACTGCGTACCTTTTTGGTTAAATTATCATATCTGGCTTTAGTAATGACAGAAAAGGCCAAAATGAAAACAGCAGCTCCAAGAGCATTCCCACAATCAGCAAAAGTGAAAAATCTGCCAAGGCAGCAGTATCAAAATCCCAGGAAAAGCTTTGGGCTGTAATTGTGAATTAGACAATTGGTTAACAATCTTCTAAGAGCTTTATGTTTTTGGCTTTCTTTCTAGCAAAATCAACAGCAGTCATACCACTTATCTCTTCTGAACAAACTTCTACCATACTTTTTAACCTTCAAGAATTCATTGGGCAGCTAGTCTTCTAAAGTACTTTAGAATAGTCATAAGTGTGATTTTATGGATCCTATTTAATAGAACCCTCCCTCTACACAATAATCTAATGATGATTAACATTCATATGGCATCAAATTGTCTGTTTTGTAAAGAACAAGAAGACCATTGTCACTACCCTCTACACTGCACAATGTTTACACAGGTTTAGCCACACTTTAGAGATATTATTTAAGAGTCTAACAGAAGGGATAATTTAACTCTCTCCCAACACCTCATGAAATGGTTTATGACTGCCAACAATACAAGGTTTGAAGGAAATCTTTAAGGAATTCTGTTGGGAATCAAAGCTTGGTCTATATATAAGAAGATTAATGCTATAAGATTTAAAGTGGTTTGGGGGGCTAGTGCTGATTTGTTGATCAGTGAGGTCTTCAAGGTTATTCAGAGTTGCGTTTTCAGCCAAGGGGGGAAAAATGGATGATCCAAGAAAAAGAATCTAGCAAATGATTTGGAATGCAATTGATTCATTGTATTTGGTGGAGCTAGATATATGAACTGATTATGTTAGACTCACCCTATATTCAAATGTTAGATTTAATTTCAGACGTAAAGGACTTGGAGTTGTTAGTATAGAGGATTTTAAAAGCACATAAACCCAATGTGAACTTGAAAAGAAGAAGAAAAAAGTTGAAAACACCAACGAAAACCTCTTTCTATTATCGTAAATAGAAACGACGGGAGTATATAAATATTATTCTTTTACACGACTATTTAAATAAAGAAAAATTCAACAAACTATTAAGATCCACTGAGAGCTTGGAACTCATTACGTTTTAGTTGTAGTGTTGTGTAATTTAAAGGTAGGTTAAGAAAAGAGAACAAGTCTTTTATTAGCAAAGGAAGCAGATTTACACTAAGAAAATTGGATTTGTTAGGTGGAAATCTATTTCCTAAACAGATTGTTGTTATTACTGTTACGTAGAAATTTGTTTCCTAAACCAATTTTTTTGAGTTTGGGCATTGATTGTAATAGATCAAACATCACTTGAAACTAACTATTCCCATGTAGCACAGTAGAATGGAACAGCTAATATAAACCAAAACCAAAAAGTAACTGGTTGACAAATTGCAGGGCTCCCAAAGGCCAAGGATTCAAACAAAAATACAAACATATTGCATGAACAGAGCATCACACTTAGTCCTTTACCATTGAAAAGAAATGACAAGTAGAAAACTACAAAGTGCATCACATTCTAGATAATCTCTTAGACATGATGTCATTTATCAAATGTGTAGTATGAGCATTCAATTAGTAATAATGAAATCACACAACATTCATTGGGCAGCTAGAAAAATAGCAATTATCATTAATCAAATATCCAACAAATCAAACAAAACAATCCAAGTAATCCAAATACAAACAATACTCAAAAAACCAGGAAAAAATAAAATATTAGAATTCGATAAATTCAATAAAGAGAATGAATTAGGAATTTTCACATACCTCAAGAAATAATACTTACCTTAATAATGATGTAGGAAATTAGAGCAAGTGAAATTGAACCTGGAAATTTAAACATGGCAATTAAAAACTCAATCAAAAGCAAACTCTGTAAATTCAAAAAAAACCATGAAACATCCAATTGTCTAACCTAGAACCAAAGCACATGACCGTGATGCATTCCATGTCCAAACGCCTATTATAAATCACGGAATGATTGACAAAAAGGTAACGTGCGTTTAGATTATTATTATTATTATTATTATTAGGATTATGCTATGTGTACCCCAAAGTTTGTATTCCAATTTGTACCCCGCAATTTTGTACCAACACTTTGTGTTGGTGTAAAACTAATTTTTGTTAAATGCACCAACATTTGTGTCCGTGTGAATTTTTATTAACGAACCAACACTTATGTCGGTGTAAACCATCGAAATGTTTGTGCAAACATGTGGTGTACAAATGAGGTATATTTTTTTGGTGTAAATGTAGCATGGTCCTTATTATTATTATTATTATTAATTAGGAGTATATTATGGAATTTACAACCCAGAAACCATCCAAACGACCAAAAATAATTTAAAGCAATGCAAATCAATTACCTGATTATTATTGGGAAACGGATATCAAACAAAGTCTGCAGCAACCCATCGCATGATTCGCTGAAATTCCAAAATTAAATTGCTCTGCCAATTCAAGCATTTACTCCTACAGCAAGTGAAGCCGTGAATTTTGCGAGTATTTAGAGCTTGTTTGGATAAAGTGATTTCCACAAAAAACAAAAGCATCCCATACCTGCTTCTCCAAAACGGTGTTCTGTGTATAAAATAGTGGGGGTGAAAAGAAGAAGCTGACATGCCAAACAGAATAAAATAACTTTCAGTCAAAGCAGAAGCTAAATTACTAAAAGCAGCGCACTCCCAAACACCCTCTTATTCGGATTACACAGAACGATGAAATTGAATCGTCATATCGTCATTTTAATAAGTTCTGATATGATTGGATATCTGATCTAATTGGATCTGATCTGATCTAATCTGATTGGATCTGCTCTGATCTAATCTGATTGGATCTGATCTGATCTGATTAGATCTGATCTGATCTGATTAATTATGATTTAATTTAAAATTTCAAATCAATAATTTGATTTGAC